TGTGTGAGAGGCAGGGGGGTCTCTGCTGAGCTTCAGAGGCTGTGTTGGGGGATTTCTGGGGATGGACAGAGAAGCCATCCACCTTTAGCTGCAAAGGGGGCCTGGAGAGAGTACCTTGTGGTCAGAGCTCAGCCTGGTGCCATGAGAGGGGAATGTCCCCAAAAGCCACCCAAACCACCAGCAGGCAGGCACCCAGTCTCTGAGACCCGATTTCATGCCACCTCCACCAGCCACTGTATGGTCCCATGGGGCGCAGGCCTCCCCTCAGGCCTGCAGGCACAGCCTACCCTGTCCACGCTCACCCTGAGGCGCCGGCCACTGGGAAGGCCTGGGGCGCCCAGAGCCCTGCCTTCTGACTTTACCCCTCCTCCGCCACCGTGGGGACAGTGCCTCCAAGTCAGTGAGCCTGGGGAGAAGGCTGCCCGCACTCTGCATGTGCCTAGCAAGCCCCAGGAGGAGGTGGGAGATCGATGCACCTGATACTCTATGTCCTTCTCCCTTTGGGAAGGTGAGCAAGAAAGACTGCATTCAGAGAGGGCAGGTCCCTGCGCCCCATGCAGATGACGCTGACCCTGCAACAGGGTGAGGTGGGGCGGGAGGCCAGGAAGAGCTGATGACTGTAATGTCTTATCGTGTATTGCCCTCTTTTCCACTCAGCCTCTGCCTGCCCCAGGTCCCTGACCTCTTACTGCCGTATCACCCCGTACAGATGATGAAACTGAGCTGCAGAGAGGTTAGAGGATGTGCCCAAGGTCACAGTCAGGAAGCAGCCAATCAGTGGGGGGAGCTCAGAACCCCGATTTCTTGGTGGCCGTGCTCTCTGCCCCTCTCTAAGATCACTTCAGAGTGGCACCCAGTAGGAACTTTCATGGCACCAAAACGTGAATTTTCAGAACATTAGAATGCTACGTTCAAAAGACACATGGGGAAATAACTGGCAAATCTAGTGTTTTGTGTTTGGTGCTGTGTGCAGTCCGTCCACCTTCACGAGGTTGGACAAGTAGGAGCAGAGAGGTCATTCAGCCCTGCCAGGGAGATTCGCCCTCCAAGATGGCAATTGGATGCGTCTGTCCTTTGGGAAGTTGGAGGGCCCCTTGGGGAGCCAGCTGGTGTTCACCTGTCTCCATCTGCACTCCAAGGGACTGGGACACACAGCTGCTGTCACGTGCAGGAAGTTTCCAGGATGGAGATGTCCCAGCTGTCCCCAGTCACTCCCCACCTCCCATCCTAGAAGGCCAGACCTCCATAATATGCCTGAGACCTAGGACAACATATGACATGATGAGACTAGGCCCAGCTACAGCGTACCTGCCAGGGCCAAATGCCTGGGACACAATTAAGGTCCCAGGGCTGTGTGGCCTCTATCTGCCCAAGATCTGGGGGATCATTCATGAAATCCTTCACCCAACGTCTATTTACTGAACACCTATCATATGCTGCATGCTATGCTAGGATACAGTAAGGTAAGACAGGCTTGGTTCCTGCCCCAAGCATCTCACAAGTAGTTTGAAGGATATGATGGGTAAATAGAGGCAGAGTCATGGGGCCTCAGACTCAGGGTGCCTTAGCCAGTTCTGTGGGATGAGGGAAGGCCTCTGAGGAGTGACTTAGGAGCTGAGTCTGTGTAGGAGTTTGGTGGTAGGCAGAGGGCTTCGAGCAGAGGGTGCAGTGTGGATGGAGACCTGGAGGCCAGGGTGGGCCAGCAGGTTTAAGCAGCAGAAAAAGTTTCAGCAGGGCTGGGGCCTTGCCCATGAGGGGTGCCAGAGGTGAGGGGTGTGGGAGAGGGAAGTGAGGGGCCAGCCCTCCTGCCACCAGACACATTTTCTGTGCTGGCTTGTTTCAATCCGTGTCCAAGCACCGGCATGGGGGCTCGGAGGCCAGGTCTCTATTGTCGCTGCTGTCTGGTCCACCTCTGTGTCTGCAGAGCCTAGAATGGTGCCTGGAACCCAGCAGAAGCTCAATGCATATGTAATAAAAGAATCCACGAATGAGTGAGTGAATGTCCTGTGTGGGTCCGTGTGTCTGTGCTGTGGTCATGCAACGGGGAGGCAGGCCCTTGCTCTTATTTCTAAATGAAACTCAGTTCATTAAGTTTGGAAGCAGGTGATCTTGTTTTTTTCCTTTGGGATTTATGGAGGGTCCCCCCCACCACATATACACACAAAATAAGTTAATTTGGGGGAGGGAGAAAACCATGCAAGGTGCACCAGGGTGTGCACCCAACCACAGGGCCCTTTGTGCACAGGAAGTAATGCTTCCTCCCCGTCACCTTCGTGAGGCAGGTGGGAGACCAGGTGAGAGGAAAAAGCCAAATCCTGAATACAGTTCAGGAACTGCCTCTCAGAAAACACGAGAAAAACAAACAAAAAAAACAAAACAGTCCAACTAAGAAATAAAATACCATCTCTGCGCTCTTGGAGCTTGTTTTCTAGCAGGGGAGAAAGACTAGGTAACAGCCTCACAATGGGTGCTTTAGCAGTGTGTGAGGGCTGAGGTGGAGATGTGCACAGAGGTGAACATGCGGGTGGGGTGTGCTGTACCCGCGGGGCCTGGGGCTCGGGGAAGCCTCTAGAAAGGAGACACTCCAGCTGAGAAGTAGAAGGCAAATAGACGCTGGAGGGTATTGGGGGAGTGCAGGGACAAGAAGAGAGATCTGGTGACCCCAAGTGAGAGGGAGGGAAGGGCCCTGGAGAGCTAAGAATGGTTCGCAGGCACCTAGGAGGGCAGTGGGGATGTTCTGGGACCATAGGGGTGCAGACTGAGTGAGGTAGGGCTGGAAGACATGAAGCTCTGTCCAGGGGCCTCTCTGCCTGTGAGCTTCATTGCTGGGGCTCCTGAGGGTTGCAAAAGCCTTGTCCTCAAGCTGAAGCTGTCATAGAGAGTGGCCGTGCAAGAGACAGTACAGGTAAGACAGAAGCCTGGGGCACAACCCCCTCCTGGAAGCATTCACAGGCTGGCCAGCGGCAAAGATCAGGTTATGATTGCTGTCTTTCCACCCCAGCTGATCTTTCCAAATGGCCTCAAGGAGGCCACCACTGAGACCACCACTGAGATCGCTGGCTTATGCAGAGCCCAGGGGTCAGTATACAGAAAGACCGGAGTTCTTAGACTTAAGACTTTTTGGATCTCCCTAATTCCAAGACACAAATTATCTGGCATTTGAACATCTCTGAAATTAGCACTATCTCACGGTGCGAGTGGCAGAGTTTAGCACCACTTTTCCTGGTGGTACAGAAAGCAAGGGTGAGTCCATTAATGGCATCACAGCTTTGATGAAACTGTGTGGAGAGCCTGGGCTGGGTTTTTTTTTGCACATAGAACTGACTGGAAGCAAGCAGGCTAGAAGCCCTGACAATTCAATGGACCCGGCATTGTGGTCTGGACTTTCACAGGGAAGTAACGCTTCTATCTTGTTCAATCTGGTGTTATTCTGGGACAGCTAAACTTATGAGCTAATCTCGGCTATAAATTTTGTAATTTTTGTCTAACAGAAGGCTTCCAGATTCTCTTCTCCCTCTGGCCAAAGAATTGCTAACAAAACCATTAACTCCCACAGGCTCTTTGATTTAAAGTTACATGTGGGAACAACAATAAAAACCCCAACAACTTGATTTTAGAATAAGGGAAGGGCTTGAACACAAATTTCTCCAAAGAAGACATACAAATGGCCTAGAGGCACATGAAAAGATGTTCAACATCACTAATCACCAGAGAAATGCAAATCAAAACCACAGTGAGACACCACTTCACACCCATTAGGATGGCTACTATCAAAAAAGCCGAGAATAAATGTGGGTGAGGATGTGGAGAAACTGGAACCCTTTTTCATTGCTGGTGGAGATGGAGACTGGCACAGCCGCCGTGACGCTCCTAGGGCACTTCGGCAAAACTCTAAATGCAGAATTAGCATAGGATCCGGCAATTCCACTGCAGGGCAGATACTCAGAAGAACTGAAAGGAGGGACTGAGCTATTGGCACAACCGTGTTCACAACCACAGGTGGAAGCAACCCAAGTGTCTACTGATGGCTGAAGGGATAAACAAAATGTGGCAGATACATACAGTGAAATACTACGCAGCCTTAAAAGGGAAAGTCTGACATATGACAATGTAAATGAACCTTGCTAAACGAAAAAGCCAGTCACAAAATGACAAATACTGTAGGACTGCATTCATATGAGGCACTTAGAGGGGTTGGATTCCTAAAACAGTAGAAGGTGGCTGCCAGGGGTCAGGGGGCAAACGGAGGCTGTTTCCTGGCTATGGAGTTGGCAAGATGCAAGAAATTCTGGGAATAGATGGTGGTAATGGTTGTACAACAGTGTGTATGTACTTAATGCCCAAGAACTATACATATAAAAAAGGTGAAAGTGGGAAACTTTATGTCATATGTTTTATACAATTAAAACTAAATTTTCAAAATTAATGAGAAAAAATTATATGTGGAAGAGACTTAGCTTCTCCAGGTCCTGTAGTCAAGTGGCAAAACCTGCTTTGCTACATCTGCCCAGACACGTGGATCAGATAGGCATTTGAACATTAAAGCCTTTGGGGGGGACACATGCTCAACAGGTGGCCCTGTGCCCTATCACTCCATCACCTGAACTGCCATCCACCAAAGAAAACTGAGGTTGGAACCCCAGATCAAGTGAGAGTAGATGTCAGGCAAGAATTCAGTGCCTAAAATCTAATCCGCTCATGGCCTGTGTCATGTCTAGGACCTGGGAGCTCTGCGTGCCTGCCTTCCACCTGGGGGCTGGTAGAAGGCAGGTGACAGGCCCCAGAGGATGGTAATGCTTACCAAATATCTCAAGCCCCTGCTATCAGGCAGGGCCCCTGTGATGAGTTCTGGCCAATGAGCCATAAGCAGAAGTGACCTGTGTGTCACTCTGGGCTGAAGCAACCGGTGATGTTCCCGAGTGGAGCCTCCATCGGCCTGGGCCCCTAAGAGACCATGTCAAAAGCAGAGCCCCACGTGATTCATGAGGGACAAGTGGTGTGAGCAAGTCAGCAAAAAATAACCTTTATGTCAAAGCACTGAGATGTGGGGTTAATGTAACCCCACTTATCCAACCACACGTGCTGTCAGCACTGGAAGAGAAGGTTTCCATGGCCTCACAAGCTCTGGTGGAAGGCGGGAGCCCCACGCCTCAGCCTAGATACCCCAGCAAGCACAGGCCTTCTCTGGGCTCACCAACTGCTCCATTTGTCTCCTACAGAGGCAGGGCTTCCCTACTGCTCACCCCGTGGGGGGAGGCAGGCACTGCTTATGATCTGGGGGGATCTGGGCTCTCTGCCAGCGGGCACCGACTCGCTGCCTGGCCCTGTGTCTCCACCTGTCCCTGCTGCGGCTCTGATCACACACGGCTTCCAGGGCTGGGCTGGAGTGAGAGGAGGAGCCAGCTGGCCCGATGACTCCACGATGGCCCTTCTGCTGATGGACCCCAGTGTATGGGCCAACAAGGGGAGAACTCGTCACTCCCTGCTGCCCACAGGCACCTGCAGGGGTCAACCTGAGACCCCGAGCCCCTTGCTGAGATGGACTTCTAACACTGATGGTGGCCCCAGCCTGTCTTAGTGACTGTAGCCCTACCTGGGAGGCCATCTACCCAGAGTTGGAAGGTGCACAGAGACACACCAATGCTGGATGCAGGCGGCCCAGTGCAGGTTGTCAGAAGTACCTTTCCCAGGTGAGGGGTGGGCAGGCTGGGGACAGGGCGCCTCCCAGGAATGTGGGCTTCAGCAGGACAGACCCAGCACATGTCAGCATCTGGAGCTGCAGACAGCACAGAGCTTTATTGACAAACAGGTCACAGAATCCCCTCTCCCCCCTCACCCTGGAGTCCCCCCACTTTGACCCCAGGTAGGAGAAAGGCCTGGGCCCACCCACCTGCCCAACTCTGTGGGCTGAGGCCTTAATCCACCCCCAGCTGAGGCCAGGCAGGGCTCCCCTCTCATGGGGCCCCTGCCAGAGAGGCTAGAAGCAATGGTGGGGGCACTGTCTCCAAGTGGCTGGTCCTCGGGGCTTCAGCTGGAGGACACGGGGCTGGGGGACCTGGGGTTCTGACCAGATCAGGGTGGGGCATGAGACCCGTTGACAGGGGCTGGGACAGTGAATGGAGAGGTGTCAGCGGGCCACTTTGGGAGCAGGCTGCCCCCAGTCCAGCCTCATTTCCTTCTGGACTTAAGAGTTAGGGTTACCTCCATGGGTGAGGTGCGGTAGGTAGCCAGCGGGGAGTGGAGGAGCCTGGGAGGCTGTCTTGGGTCAGGGCCAGGGGACAGGCCCTTGTAGAGATGCTTTATCAGGCTCTTCCCTTCCTGCCCCCATCCTGCCCCCGGGGACAGGGGCTGTGCCCTCCCCAGGGCTGCCCCAAGACGTCTGTCCCTCCTGGGGCACCCTGGACCACACCACGTGGGAAGGGCCGCTGGCCGACAGCTGCTGGTGCTGAGCCTTGGAGGAGACACAGGACCAGAGATCCAGGCTCTTGGGCGCTGAGCTCCTGTCGGACTTGGGAGGGAGGACGTCCCAGCCCAGCAGGCAGTGCTGTGGGGAGCAAGGGGCTAAGGTGCCTGGCAGGGCGCAGGGCTCCCCCACCTGGGTTCACCTTCATCTGGGACCGGCAGCATCCCCTAAGATGGGGGGTGTCCCCCATGAGGGTGGAGGGGCCTCCGATCATGGTGGCTCCCCTGGCAGGGCCTCCCTCTCCTGAGCCTGCTCACCCAGGCCTCAGGCCCTAACCAGTGTCCAGAGGCCATGGACACTGACGACAGGTCCTGTGTGCCAGGCTCTGGCCCAGGCCCCTGACAGGTACCGAGTCACTGAACGGCCCCAGCTCACCCCACAAGCCTGAAGACAGTATGTTCTACGGATGAGCAAACCAACTTTTCTTGGTGCCTCTTCTGCACCCCTCGTCACAGCTCCCCGGCCTCACCTGGGACTGAAGACCCAGGGAACACAGAGGGACATCTCTATGGGAGGCACCACGGAAGCATACGGACCTGGGTGCAAATCCCAGCTCTTTCACCTGGCTGACCTTGGCTAAGGCCCCTCCCTCTGCCTCAGTCTCCTGGTCTGCAAAGTGTGCTATAGCGGAACCCGCACTCGCGGTCACTACGGGGGTCCGTGAGATAATCCTAAGGAAGGCAGGCACTGCACACAGAGCTCAGCGCTGGGGACTGTGTGCGTCATGCCGGCGTGCAGGCGCGCCACTCATCCCGGAAGCCACGGGGTGGGCAGGGTGCCCCATCTCACTCAGGGGACAAGCACAGCACGGGGTGGGGCGCCCAGCCCAAACTCCAGAGCTGGGTGCTCTTCTTCCTTGAGCCCAGACTCACTGTGTGGCCTTGGGACAGTCCCTGGCTCTCTCTGGGCCTCAGGATCCATCTGGGGACCTGGGCCAGACAGGGGGCAGCCCCAGGCCCTTCCCCATCCGGCCGCACATGGCTGCTCACCCGGGGCAGGGCCAGCGTGTCAGAGGCATCGAAGCTCTTCCGCCGATGGATGTGGTACCGGTGGGGGGGGTCCAGGAGAGACAATGGGACGCTCACCCTAGGCGGGGAACAGAGACACTCATCCTTGGTGGGGGGACAGTGGAACACTCACCCTAAGCAGGGGGACAGTGAGGGCATTGCCCAGGCACCTCCTGGCTGCTACAGGGCCCCAGGCTCTGCTCCTCTCCTCAGCGGCTGCCCCCCAGCTGCCCCCCAGGTGCCCTGCCTGCTCTGGCCACTCACCTGACCTGTGCTGGCTCTGCCAGGGTCTCAGGGCCCCGTTGGTCCCGTGGTGTCCTGCACAGGCGGCAGGGGGTGCCAGGATCCGATGGCACCAGAAACAGGCGCCGGTTGACACGATAACTGTACACACCTGCAAAACCACGAGAAGGAGTAGCTCCCGCCGAGCTGGGACTCCTAAATCCCTGGGCCCCCTCACTGCCCCCAACCACATGGGCCCACCAACCCCTCCACGGTCCCAGGGGCCTGCTCACAGGCACCTACGCATGCACACATCAGAGCACACACACGCACACGTGCTCACATAAACACTGAGCTCACCCTGGCCCTCCAGCATGACACACGTGTGCACACACACTTGCTGGCATCTCTACATGTACAAATGTCATGTGTGTAAACAAGAAGCACAGCTTCATATGGTCACCCCTGTGGACACACATGCTTGTGCATCTATCTGTAATCATGCCCACGGGGCACACGCACATTATTCACGCGAACACCCCTCGCACACACACGTACATACACATACATATGCACTGTACGCTGCAGAGGCAAACCCAGAGCAGTGACACACGTGCCGGTGTGACTGCGCTGGCACCGCCACACACCTAAGACATCCATGCATGGGGGGCAGGGGCATATGGGAAATGCAGGGAAGGGTGTGACAAGGGGACACAGGGCCAGCCTCATCCCCACCCCCATCCCCACTCCGGGACTTGCCGTCCCGTCAGGACCCCCGGCATCCCTCTCCAAGTCCCCAGGGCGCGCAGCAGCCTCCTCAGGGGCAAGCCCCTCAGACTTCTGCCAGGATACAGGGCGCCTGCCGAGGTTTATACTCACATTCGTGCTCCCCCTCCACACCACTGCTCCCGGGCAGGCCTAGGAACTGGGACCTGTAAGGGTGAGGGGGGTTAGCAGGCCAGGGTCACAGGGTCCCTGAGCTGCCCTGCCTCCCCAGAGCACCCCTGCTCACTCGGGGTCACTGTTAATACATTCTTCCTTGTTGGCTTCCCGGAACTTCTGCAGCTTTGAGAAGAAGGCCTCAGGCTTGCTGGTGACGGGCGAGCTGCTGTCCAGAGACGCTGCAGTGGGCAAAGCATAGCGTGGCTACTGGCCGAGGCTTAGGGGGTGCCCAGCACTGGCAGCCCAGTCCCCCTGCCCTGCCCCAACCATGCCTCAGACCGACCTGAAGGAACACTCACTGTTCCTGTTGGTTTTGTCTCAGTGTCTGTCTGTCCTGATGTGTAACCATCATTCATGCAAAAAATATTTATAAAGCCCCTACTCTGGGCCAGACACTGTTTCCTGTGCTGTGCAGAAAGCAGTGAACTAGGGAACGAATGAGCCGGTGCTGAGCCCTCATGAGGCTTACATTCTAATACAGCAGCAACAGACAAGCTGGTGACAACTTGTCACCAAGAAATGAGATAAACACCAAATGGTGGCACCTGCCAGGAAACGAAAGAGAACAGAGCCAGGGAACCACACCGGACAGGGCAGAGGTGCCAGGGAGGCCTCTCTGAAGAGAGGACACCTGAGCAGAGACCTGAGCGGGGAGAGAGGGGGCCATGTGGACTCCCAGGCAGACAGACGAGCAAGTACAAAGGCCCTGGGGCAGACGTGTGCTTGGTATGCTTGAGGAACAGCCAGGAGGTCAAAGTGGCTGGAGGGAAGTGAGGATGACGGTCGAGGAGATGAGGCTGGACGCTGGCAGAGGGTTTGGGAACAAGGAGTGACACAATCAGATCAGCTGTGTATTTTCGCAGGATTCCCCTTCTGGCTGCTGCAAGACGAAGGGAAGCAGGGGCACCAGTTAGGAGGCTGCAAGAGGGCGTCCTGGCAGAGAGACGTAGTCAGACTCCGGAAATACGCTGAAGGCAGGGCTACTGATGAGCACTAATGGACTGGAAGACGAGGACGCAAACAGGAGAGGGGAGACTGAGGCTGACCCCAAAGTATGGCCTGATTATTAGTACTGGAGTTGCCATCTACAGACAGGAAGGACTGAGGAAGCAGGGGCGTTGGAAACCAGGATCTTTATTTTGGATGTGGGATTAATCTTTAAGATACTAATGAGCAACACGGAAATACACAAACCAGCACACAAGTCTGGAACCCAGGGGAGTAGTGTGGGCTAGACCTAAAAATGGGCCATTACCGTAAGAGCTGAAAGCCTCAGTCCTTAGGGGAGCAGAGGGGGGACAGCAAACAAGACAGGCCCTGCAGCCTCGGGGGCCTGGCCGTGGGAACAAGGAAGCGGTCCCAGCAGAGGAAACTAAAAGGAGAGCCAGGAGTGTCCAGCCCTGGGAGTTGAGGGACGAGTCTGAGGGAGGAGGGGGTGGCTGCTGCATCCCTCACTCCACAGGGCCCGTTACGGCACAGACAGAGAACCGAGCCGAGAGCCGGCAGCTAAGGTCCCGATGACCCGGGAGTGGACAGTGTTAGAAGGCGTTGGGAGCTAAAGCCCAATTTAAGAAAAAGTTTTTCCAGTCCTCTTTTCCAGAAAAGTGGAGAAAATGGGCAGTAACTAGAGGCAAACAGAGGAAAAGGGAGAAATGTTTCATCAGTATGGAAATATCAGACGGCAGCTGTACTCTGACCAGAGGGGAGACCTGGCTAAGTTTCTCCATCTCCTGGCACCTCAGCCTTCCCCTCTGCCAGCAGGGATAAGAGCACCTCCCTCCTAGGGTTACTGTGAAGAGCAGGGAGCGAAGGGGGTCAGGCAGCAAAGCTCCTGGAAAGCCAGGCACGTAAAAGCACTCGGTACGTAAGTCAGTTCTCATGGTTAGCCCAGGGCATTTTTCATATGCTGATGGGGCAGAATGATGCTGGAGGGAGGAGAGACCGCAGGAAGCCCACCCCTGGGAGCCAAGAGGGGATGAGGCAAGGCACAAACATGGGGACAGGCCTTAGATGATGCAAACACACGCCCTTGGAAGGACAGCACAGCCCACAGGGGCGCAGGGCAGGCAGGGGGCGGGTGCCTCCTGGGGACGGGGCCTGTGCCCCCACCACCACTGAGTTCCAGCAGCCCCACGGACCACCTGCCTTTGGCAGTGACTCAACTTCTCCATGCCTCAGTTTCCTTCTTTGTGAAATAAGGATCCTAACAGCACCAGCCTCTTGGGGTCATCCACTCACTCACCAAGTATTGGTGGAGGGCCTACCATGAGCCAGGCACCATTCTAGGCTCAGGCTTGGAGACACAGCTATGGGAAGACAGCCAGGCCCCTGCCCTGAAGGCGCTTATGCTCCACCACAAGAGTCAGATGAGAAACAAGCAAGAGGATTTCTGAGAATGAATGATACGAAGGACACACGAATGGCTGATGCCACAGGCATGGGTGCAGGGGTGGTGGCCCTCTAACATCATGCTCACAGAAGGCCTATAGTTTGAGCAGAGCCTTCACTAATGAAAAGGAACCAGTAGGAATAAACCTGGGGAAGTGCGTTCCAGACAGAAAGGACGAAAGCGCGAGGCCCTGAGGTGGCCGTGAGCATGACAGGTTCAGCGACCAGCAAGGAGGCCGGCAAGGCCGGAGCGAAGCACCAGGACACAGACAGTTAGAGGTCATGTCACGGGGCCAGCAGAGGCCAGGCCATACATCCTAAGTCTAAATAGGACTTTGGATCTTACTCTAAGTGTTAAGTACTCTGAGTGGCATGATCTTATTTCTGTGTTTAAAAATTCATTCTTCCTGCCATGTCAAAAATGGGTAGTAATGGGGACAACACAGGCCAGGAGACCAGTCAAGGGGCCACTGAGGTCTGGGGCAGGGCAGGGCGGAGGACAGTAACATGTAAAGAGATGAGACACATGCATAATTTTTCAGTGGCATGGCACATAATAAATGCTAAAAAGTATGGCAGCTCTGACTCATTCATTCATTCAATGAGAGCCCCAGGTACATTCTTGGGGAGGCCCATCTCTGTACCTGTCACTGTACCAGGGTCCGAGAAAGGAGACCCAGCACAGAAGGTGCTCACTGAAGAAGGTGGAACAGCCAGAGAAACAGCAGCAGTGCCCAGTCGGGGCTCAGGCAGGTGCAGAAGCAAGCTGGGCCCTCCACCCCAACCCCAGGCCTGGCATGTGTGTGGGACGGGCCACACCTGCAATCCAATCGTAGCCCAGGTACGGTCTGAGGCGCCAGCTCTCCTCAGGCACTGGAGGTTCCCTGCTGAAGGTCACTCTCCGCTGAGGAGGAAGACAAAGAGGTGCATGGGGTAGGCCAGCAGGCCCGGCCCAGAGGAGGGCCCATGTCCTAACTGATGTCCTGACGTGGGCCCCAGGGCTCAGCCAAGGACTTGGGAGCTGGAAGGTAAGAGTTGGGCCCCCACCCCCTCTACTCTGAACACGTCTGGCCTCTGAGCCTTGGTCTTCCCATCTGTATAATGGGGCTCATCGCTTTCTTCCCAAAGTAACCACCACACTTATCAAGCACTTAGGCTGAGCGGACATGACTCAAGGTATCTCCCAGAAGCCTCTCACCCTGCAAGGGAGGCTGCCCATGAGTGCATTTGTCAGGGAGGGAAACTGAGGTACAAGGAAGCTCCCATCAGTGGATACCCCACTCTTCCAAGTTACCTTGGACAGCATACTTCGTTGATCCAGGGTGGATCTCAGGGCCTGAGATCTCAGGATCTCAGGATCTTCCTGGGATCCTGGACTGTCCAGCTCTGCTGAAAGCTCTGGGTCATTCGAGTTTGAGGTGGGTGCCTTCTGGGGCCCCAGCGGGCCCAGGGACTTCTGGTACTGGCATGTGCCACGTGAGAGGGAGATCACCCTGGAGCTGGCCCTGCGATGCCAGGACACATCACAGGGGTCACCTTGGTGGGCGTCCGGCAGGCAGGAAGCTCTCAGGGCCACTGAGGACACCTCTTGGGAAGATGGTATCTCTGAGTCGTAGCTGCTTTTGGAGTCCGGGCTTGACTGGAACAGAGAGGCCCAGTCACCCAGGAAGCGGCTCAGCCACCCACCCAGCTGGCCTATGCCAGGCATGAGGCCTGGTCTTCATTCCTGTGCCAGTCTGTGCAGTGTCCCAGGCCAGTCCCTTCCCACACTGGGCCTTGGTTTTCTCATCACAGCAAACTAGGCACGCTGCCCAGGATGGGCCTGGAGGCCTGAGGGCTAGGCAGCACCTTCCTCACCCCCGGGGAGTTTCCACAGTGGGTGCTCACCTCTGAGGCTGCCTTGGCCACTGACTGCCGCACAGCCTCCTGCCCAACCCACAGCTGCTGCATGAGCTTCAGGTTGAGCTGCCGCAGCTGTGCCAAATCCTCGGACTCCACCATGGCAAGGGTTCTGTCTGGCCTCACACGGCAAGTCACTGAGCACCCTCGGGGCTGCGTTCTACCTGAAGCAAAGACAGCATGACCCAGGCCTGAGTTTGAATCCCCATCTGATACTTCCTAACTGTGCATCCTCAGGCAAGTTATGTAGCCTCTCTGTGCCTGCTTCCTCCTCTGCCAAACAGGGATAATAACAGTACCTACCTCATGAAGCTGTTGTAAGGATTAAACAAGATAATGCATGTTAAATCGGTGCAGTGCACAGCACATAGTAAGCATTCAATAAATACCTATTATTAAACTGGCCAGGGAGTGTTTCCTTACATGCCAAAAGACAGCAATCCCCTTTTAACAACCCCAACTATAAAATAAGTTTAATTTGTAGAAATCAATTAAAGCAAGTCTACAAACATGAAGCATTATAACTTGTGAATGCAACACAAATAAGGCTTCTGAGGGGGCTCTTTCCTGCCCACTGTTCTTCTTCCCTTTCTTTTCACAATGAAGAAACCAAAGTTCAGAGAAGTTAAGCAGCTTGCCCCAAGCCACACAGTGGCACAGCCAGGATCTGAGTCCAAATCTGGCTCCAGGGTGCATGATCACTCCACCCTCTCTCTAGCGTGGAGGGGGGCCTGGGAAGCCTCCTTCTCCCAGCCTTGGCCCTCAAGGACCCAGACTCAGGACACACAGACGCCTCTGGAAGGGGATTCTGCAGGCTGGGGAAAGATGCCTCCCACTTGGCTCAGAGCCCCAGGCCCAGATCCTCCAACCACAGACGGTCCCCCTCAGTTGGCACCATCCTGGTTTTAACACTGGGTCGGGGCAGGCAAGCTACCCTCAGAAACGGGGCCCTACCCCAGCCTCCTTACACCTGCCCTCCTCACCCGAGGACCGCCCACACGGGAGCCCCCTCCGCAGGGCCCGGCTGCAGGGACCAAAGCAGAGAGAAGCCACACTACAGTGGGACCGCCCATCCCCACCCCGGCGTACGCCCCCCGCAGAGTACAAACGACTCTGGGGCCGTGCAAAGGAGGCAAACAGCCTGGTCCTCGGGGCCGGGAGTCCCGGCCCCCGCCCTGATCCGATCGAGCAGTTCTGGGTCATTCCCTTACAGTCCTCGGGTCTCCGTTTTCGCCCGGGGCTAGAGAACTGCCCGCACGGTCCTCCGGCTCCAGCCGCGCGCCGGTACCCTAGACTGAGCAAAGGCACCGGGAGGCGGCGTTCAAACAAGGACCTGGAGCAGCAAAACTATCAGAGGCAGTGCCGAGGCGCCGCCTCCCCGTCCTTGCCCACGGAGGCGCCCGAACCTTCCCGCGAGCCCTCGGTTGCCAGCGCCCGCCGCCCCGTCCAGCAGCCACGGCCCGGAAGCTCCCGGACTGCGCGGACTGCCACCGCCTCCGCCCTGAGCTCCGCAGGGCGAGTGGCTATCTGGGGGCGGTGCCTGATCAGGCCTCCCCGATTGGTCAGATAGGGGACGCGGTCGACACTCCTGCGAGCGTTACTACGCGTTCCGAAGAGGCAGTTTCAAAATTAGGGCGAGGCTAAAGCGGGGGCCAAGAGCTGATTGGTCGACCTCTGATGTTGCGTACAGGCTGACGATTTTCGGAATGGGGCGGGCCCCGGAGGGCTGGCTCGGATTGGTCAGGAGCGGGCACGCTACGCCGCGTTCGGGCTGCGACAGTTTCAGAGTCTGCCCCGGGCGCTGCTCCCAGCCAGCGGGTTGCAGCTAGGGGAAGCCAAGGGTAGGCGGGGCGGCAGCTGGCAACCCATTGCTTCATGCTGTCTTTCAAGGAATTATCGTGCTTACTCCGTGCCAAGAGGCATTGTACTAGGCACTGAGAGGCAGAGAATTAAAAGGGGTCCCTGCCTGGAGGAGGGGGAGAAGAAGCAGGCTGTAAGACAAGAACACGGAATCCCATAGCACAGTCTGTAAAATATGAGCAAACTTATATGGAGTGACTACTCTGCGCCAGGTAGTGTCCATATGCCAATGAATGCCAGCCTCATAAATATACTTTAACGTGGGTATTGTCCCATTTTACAGACAAAACAAAAAACGAGACCATGGGAGATGAAGTGACTTGCCCAGAACATTTTTTAAATCAGTGTAATTTATAAAATTAACAGAAAGAAAGCAAGCGAAAAAGTCATCTCAGTATATGCAGAAAAACCCACCTACCATTGCCCATTTTTCTTAGTGGTTGGAGGTGGGGTGGGGGTGCCACAATCCATCTTCTACCTTATATATTTCAGCTTTTGACCAAATCCAGCATTCATTTCTGATTTTTTAAAATATCCCAAGCAAATGAGGAGTGGAAGCGAACTTCCTAATTCTGATAAAAGGCATCTAGGAAACCTACAGTTAACAGCATATTTCATAATAAAACACAATGTTTTCCTCCTAAGATCAGTAAATGATAAGACTGTCTGCTCCTACCACCTCAGATTGTACTAGAATGCTAGCCAGTACAATAAGGAAAGAGCAAAAAAGGCATATAGATTGGAAAGAAATAAAACTATTCACAGACAGCATGATAATAGAAAATCTCATGGAATCTACAAAAAAGATACTAGAATTGTTAAAAAGTTTGGCAAAGTTGCAGGAGACAAGATGAACTTAGACAAAAATCAATTCATTTCTATATATTAGCAATAAGCAATTAGAAATTGAACTTTTTAAATACGGTATTTAAAACAGCATCAAGAAATAGGAAAATGAAATACTTAGGGATAAATCTGACCAAGATGTGCAAGACAGACATACGATACAAGTTAAAGAAGATTTAAATAATTGGAGAGATGTTCTGTTCTCATGGGTTGAAAGACTCAAAATTTTTAAGATGTCAAGACCCCAGATTGACCTATATGCTCAATGTAATCCCAATCAAAATCCCAGTAAGTTCCTTTGTAGAAATTGACAGTTTCTAAAATTCATATGGAAATGCAAAGGACCTAGCTATCCATAACAATGTAATCAAGAGAGTAATTGGCATCACAGTATACAAATAGATGAAACAGAATAGAGTCCAGAAATTGTCTCATGCATGTATGATAAATTACTTTTTGACAAAGATGCAAAGGCAATTTCAGTAGAGAAAGGATAGCTTTTTCAGCAAATGGTGTGGGAACAATTGGATATCCGTATGCCAGACACCCAAGCCACAAAACAAAACAAATTTTTAAAAAGCTCTCTATATGTTTGTACCATGTGTACTCCAAATGGATCATAGATCTAATTGTAAAACCTAAAACTATAAAGCTTCTAGAAGAAAACACAGGAGAAAATCTTTGTGACCTTGAATCAAGCAGAAATTTCCTAGATATGACAACAGAAGTACAATTTACAAAAGCAAAAATTGATACATTAAACTATCAAAATTAGCAACTTCTTTGAAAAACAGCTAGAAGAGTGGAAAACAAACCACAAGATTGGAAAAAATTGCATCTTGGAGCTATATAAACAACTCTCACAACTCATAAGAAAACAACCCACTTTTTAAAATGAATAAAAGAATTGGACAGACGTTTTACTAAAAAGATGCAGAAGACAAATAAGCATAAGACAAGATGCTCAACATCCCATACAATTCTCCTACTGAGGCTTGACAGAGACCATACAGCATTCTTATCCACCACAAGGACCTCTAGCACCGGCCTTCTCCCCAGTCTGGTTTTCTGCAGTATTCTCTTGCTCTGGCCTCCATTCACTAGGCAAATGTAAAAAAAAAATTACAGTGAGATGTCACTATATAGTTATGTGTCCAAAATTATGGTATGTGAAAGACTCTCTATTCCGAGTGCTAGTGAGGATGGTAAAAAGTGGAACCCAGATGCACTACTGGTAGAAATGTAAAATGGTACAACCATTTCAGAAAACAGTTTGGCAGTATCTTAAAAAATTCAGTGTAAACTTACCATATGACCCAGCAATTGCAGTTGTAGGTATCTACTCAAGATAAATGAAAACATATGTCCATGCAAAAACTTCCACAAAAATGTTCCTGGCAGCATTATTCATAATTGCCACACAAAAATGGAAACAATCCAAATGTTCATCAACTCATAAATAGATAAACTAAATGAGGTATCCATACAATAGAAACTATTTGGCAATAAAAAGGAACAAAGTATTGATACATGCTATAACACGAACCAACTTCATAAACATGATGCTAAGTGAAAGAAGCCATAAATAGAAGACCACATATTCTATGACCCCAGTTACATAAAATGTCCAGAAAAGGCAAATGTGTAAAGACAGAAAATAGATTATGGTTCCCTGGGTCTGGGATGGGAATAGGGAGTTAATGCAAATGGACACAAGGGATCATTTTGGGGTGATGAACATGTTCTAAAATTGGATTGTGGTGATGGCTGCACAACTTTTTAAATTTGCTAAAATGATTGAATTGTACACTTAAAATGAGTTAATTTTATGCTATGTAAGTTACATCTCAGAAAAACTGTTAAAAAATGTTAAATATACACCCACTAAACAATCGATTCACTTTATTCCCAGACAGTTATCCAATGGGGGGAAAAACTGTCCATGTAAAGACTGGCATATGAATGTCCATAGCAGCTACATTGTAAACCCAAATGTCCACCAAGAGATGAATGGATAACCAATATAAGACTTTATATCAATCATACTTCAATTAAAAAAAGAAGTGAACAGATAAATTGTGGTATATCCATACAATGGCTACTACTCAGTAATAAAAACAAAATATCAATACACACAACAGTATGCACACATCTCAAAACAGTTATGCCAAGTGGAAAAGAAGGTGTAGATACTGTATCTTCCAACTATATAAAAACAATTTCTTAATGGTGGCAAATGAGCTGGCTGGTGGTCAGGGGCCTAGAAGGAAAGGTTTGGAAGGCTAGAGGCAGGGAGAATGGGAAAAGGCAGGAAGCTGAACCAATGGTAACCAAGGGGAGGGGCACAGAGGGTTAAACCTTCATGTTTCACATTTCAAATTCATCAGAGAATGTCCTCTGCAGGGGAGCCAGTCAACAGCCAGCTGGAATGGGTGATGAGGCTGGTAGATGTCAGCCAGCCTCTCTTCTCAGTCGTCACCCAGGGGTAGGTACAGGGCCCTAGGACAGAGCAGCCATGACAACAGTGTATAAGGCGTGAGGTGAAGTGGCCTGGGCTCCTCTTGGTCCTTCTGCTGCTAAAGACTCTGAGCCCTAAAGGCTCCTGTAGGTCCTGAAGCTGCTGAACGCCTGGTCTGCCAACAGCACTGAGCCCTCAATGTGCCATCTCCAAGACACCAGCCAGCCACTGGGCAGGTCAACTCCATCACACCCCCTTCCACCCAAGGGGAGCAATTTGCACTTGTTGAAATGGACATTACTCCAGATATGGTCTTTCCTGACCTGTCTGCAAGACCTTCACCCCACCACCATCTGAGGGCTTGAGAGGGCCTGATGGGGTAACATGGCATGCCACATGTAACACAGCATGCCACATGTTGCTCACGCATCTTGCTCCCAAAAAATGCTACGTATTTTGGCAAAATGTGGAACAATGGCCAGCTAATGGATCCATGGATCTTGCCAGAAACTCCAGTGCCCAAGTGATATAGCCTGAAAAGCTTAGCTCAGGGGTCATCCCCTGCAGCTCTCTTCTCCAGGCAGCTGTGTCCCCTCTGGCTAGAATGCACGGTCACAGGAAACAGAGGGTGTAAGTAGAGGCCCCTCTACCCATCACTCCCAGTGACCCACTTGCGAAATTTGTTTCCCGTCCTTGCAAACATTGGCTTGGCTGGGTGGGAGGTTCCAGTGCCTGAGGGCAGGAAGCCTCGGCCAGGAAACACAAGAGGGTCCCATCAACTTGAAGATGTGACCATCACCTGGTCTTTGGGCCCTCCCTCCTGGTGGACCAGCAGGCAGAGGTCCGCTGTACCGTAGGGGCCGATAGGTTCTGATCACACGAGTCCAGGCTGCTGTTTCACAGTGGGACGTGGGTTGGTCACGCATCCCCTTAGGTATCCTTGTTTCCACACCCACTGATCACAGTGAGTGGCCACTATGATAGTCACGGCCCAACCAGGGTAAGACAGCTAAGGGCTCGGACCCCTGGTAGTAAGGGTCTGGATCGTTAGTCCAGATAATAAGGGGAGTCTGGAATGGGGTGGGCCAGGGCCAGCTGCAGCAGCAGGGCCTACAGTTTGGGCTGCTAATCCTGAAGCAGAGCTGTGCTGGCTACCAAACCGAAGGGGACTCTGTTCAGACTTAGGCCTCCCTCCCAGGGAGGAGGGAAGAAAAGGAAAAAGTAGCCCCGAGTGGTTGGAGGGGCAGGCTGTTTCACCCCATCCTCCTGCACCCCTGCAGGCCTTCTTGGCCCTGTTTGCCTTCTGTTCTAGCTCTGTCCGGGCTGAGAGATTTCATGCAAGCACCACACACCACACACCACGCCCCTGCCCAGCATCCGCACCCCTCATCTCCACCTGCTCCACGGCCTCTGCCCAGACCCAAGCCTCTCACCTCCCCCACCCAGCATGGGCCCCACCTTGGCACCCAAGCATTTATAGATGCAGCCCAGAAACAGGGGAGTCACCGCCCTGGGGTGCAAAGCTTCAACCAATGGGGAGTGGGAGACAGTGGGTAAATTCATCCTTCTTTGTCCCCACCAAGAAATGGTGTTGAAACTCGTCCACATGGCTTCTCAGGGTCCCAGTCTGTTAATTCTGGAGTCACACTTAGTGGCGGCCACCTCCGTAACACATCCTTCTGCTAGCTCTCCCTCCTCCCAACTTCTCCCTCTCTCCCTCGATGCTCCTCTCTAGGGAGGTTCTACAGAATAAAACCAGGGCTCATGAGCCTCTGCTTTAGACCCTGCTTTCCGGGGAACTCGGTCTCATGAACCATCCATGGGCAGACTCCCAAATGTGTATCTCCCCACCAGCTTCCACCTGGGCTCCAGGTTTGCATATCTGACCACAAAAAGGGAACTTAAATTGAACACATCCAAAACAGAACTCCTGACCTCCCCCAACTCACTCCGCTGAAGCTGTCCCATCCTCCCACTGCTCAGGACTGAACCGAGTCATCCCCAACTCATCCAGTCCGACAGCACATTGCAACATTTCTATCTTCAAACGTCTTCAGAACCTGACTACTTTCACCGCATCCATCCAACCCACCAGCCCCAGGTACCATCCTGCCCTGCCTGGAACACTGCTGTCACCTCCTGCCTGGTCTCCCTGCTACCATCCTTACTCTTGTTGCGCTCTTCACACAGCAGCCCAGGGGGACCCCATTAAGATGTGTCAGCCCAAGTGACTCCTGTGCTCAGAGCTCCCCAGTGGCATCTACCTCACTTATAGTAAAGCCAGAGTCCTCCCAGTGGCCTGGAAGGCCCCTCTGCCCTCAGTTACCCTTTTTGCACCCATCTCTGGCTACTCTCCACCTCCCTTGCTCTGCTCTGGCCACAGTTTGTTAAGATATTGGGCATGCTCCCACCTCAGGTCCTTTGCTCTTGCTGTTCCCTCTGCCTGCAATGCCCAACCCCAGCTATCTACAGGGCTTCATTCCCCTGCCTTCCTTCATTTTGCTCCAAATGCTGTCTTCTCAGTGAAGCCCACCCCAGCACTCAGCTGCTACAGCCTCCCCGGCCCTTCCCGCAGCACCCCCCTCCCTGGGCCCTATCTTCCGGCACACCGTCTTTTACTCAGTTGGTTTCGGCTGTTGCCTGCCTTTCCCCACTCGCATACCAGCTTCACACAGGACGGGGGTTTTATCCACCTTGGTTCCTGCTCTATCGCCTATGCTTAGCACATAGTAGGCACTCGAATATTTTGAATTAATGAACTTCCTCATTTGTACAAAGAAGAAAATAGAAAAGAAACTTGAGTTTTTTAGAGGATTTGGGTTCATGTATATGACACATTCTAAGCTCTCCGTAAAAGTCGGCTGTTCTAATTTCAAGCCTAAGAGGCTGACTCAGTGACACAAAAGCCTGTCCCAGAGGACAGAGTAAATTTAGCTGACATCTGTGAAGAACGCTCACACTTGGAACAGAGAGGTATGTTCCTGGCTACATCCTCTGGGCTTAAATGGGGATGTTACTGCAGAGCCAAAAATCCCAGCCTCTCGTAACTCCCCAGACCTCTCTGGGAGGCCAAGGTAGGTTGAGAAACCACAGGCATGCGGCTGGCCTTGACTGGAAATGAGGAACTAGGGGGTGGGGAGGGAGGTGACAGGGTGTAGAACATCCTTTTCCAAGCTACAAGGCATCGCCCAGGAATAACCAAACAATTTAATGGCTTGCAAATAGCAGTTTCCTTTTTTTTTTTTATTAAGGTATTATTGATAAACACTCTTATGAAGGTTTCACGTGAAAAAACAGTGTGGTTACTATATTTATCCACATCATCAAGTCCCCACCCAGACCCCAATGCAGTCACTGTCCATCAGTGTAGTAAGATGCCACAGATTTACTGTTTGCCTTCTCTGTGCTACACTGTTTTCCCCGTGATCCCCGACACCATGTGTACTAAACATAATGCCCCTCAATCCCCATCTCCCTCCCTCCCAACCTGCCCTCCCACACCCCTCCCCTTTGGTAACTGCTAGTCCTTTCTTGGGAGTCTGTGAGTCTGCAGCTGTTTTGTTCCTTCAGTTTAATAGCAACTTCTTAATGAAAAAATACCTGTACATTGTAGAAAAAGAGTAATGATTGATTTAAAATTTTGGTTTCATTTATGTGTGCATGTGTGCGTGTGTGTGTGTGTGTGTATCGGATTGTGGTGTATTTTTAATTGTGGGTCAGGATTTTTTTTAAGTCTGAGAGCTACCGGGCTTTACAAAATTCAGACTCGGGCTCTGACTCAGGCTCCATCACCCCTCCAGCTGCAAGACTTGAACACTTGAAAGTCCCTCGCACTATGCTTGCCTAGAGGAAAGTTCCAGGGGCATTTGTTAGTTCTGTCCCTCAGTGTTAGAGGGCTGATGAATGTGTATACTGTGTTATCAGGATCTGTTAAATTATCAAGTATTTACTGAACTCTGATTCTGTGCCAGACTCTAGTCCAGATGTTGGCATATACCTAATACACAACACAGATAAAAATCTCAGCTCTTACAGAGCTTATGATCTAGCAGGTAGAGACACAGAACAGCATCATGGGCTAGTTGATGACAGTTATGAAAAAATAGATGTTACATATGTTGCAGGGTAAAGTTACCCAGAAGTGCGAGACAATAGGGAAAGAGAGAGGGATTTTTAAGAAAGTGGCCTGGGTAGACTCAGTCAACAAGGTGACACATATTGGCAGACTTGGAGGTAGTTAGCTGTGGTAGCCATCTGAAGAATGGGCAGAGGGTCAGCCAGGGTAAAGACTTCAGGAAGTATGTGCTTAGTGGTTTCAAGGAAGAGCAAGGCACCAGTGTGGCCAAAGCAGGGGGCACCAGGGAGTGAGGGGCAGTCAGAAGGAACGCAGATCCCCAAAGAACTTCAAGGACTTGGGCCTCAATTCTTGGCCAGATGGGTAGCCAGATGGTGTTTCTGAGCACAGAAATAACGAGCTGAGTCCTGCCTCCATTCTGTATCAAAGTCACTCTGGCCCTGGCATTGGAACCAGCATAAGAGGGCAAGGGTGAGAGAAGGGGACAAGGGACAGGCACAGGTCCACTGGGGCAGAGCAGCGGAGGGGGTGGGAGGTGAGAAGTGGGCAGGGTCGAGATATATTTTGAAGACAGAAACTGGCAGGTCAGATGCAGTGAATGACAGTGGAGTCCAAGCGGACGCCCCAAGTTTGCGGCCTGGGAATCTGGAAAGATGCTGCCGCCATCCACCCAGACGCGGAAGCCTCTGAAACAGAAGAGCAGTGAAGGCAGTAGGCAGTGCCAGAGCCCAGGGCACAGGTGTGGAGGCCAGGGAAACTGACTCGTCACACCCACAACCACTACTGAGGGCCTTTCAAAGAGAAGAAAAGGTCACAAGTTCTCAGAAGGCAAACTGGGGTGGACCAGTCTGACTCATTACTGTTTAAGTGACAAATGAATGGTTTGGAGTTACAGTGAAATCTATAAAGAAATCACTCTAGATTTCCTGGTCCTTAAAGATCAGTTACACTTTTTGTTCTGAGAGCACCAGACTCCCTGGTAAGAGAGAGGAGGAGGGGCCCACGGGCAGATCACGGTGGGAGCTTCCCTTAAGCAGAGTTAAGGTCATTTCAAAATAGAGCCTGTGGACTTGGTTATACCAAAGAGAGTTTGCATAAAAGCAGTAAACCAAGGGGGCCCCACAAAGGGTTTCCAACTGGGTTTTATTTTAGTTTCCAATATTATCAGCAATGATACAGGAGTAATTGAGGCAAATATATCACCTTAAATACATAAGAGAAAAAACTCACTGTGTCAAGCACACCTTGAACTCCAGCAAATGAACATAAAAACAGAGTTAGCAGCAATAAATTCAAGTGCTTTTTGCCACACTTCTTTCAGAAAGCATCTCCCCCTTAGTGGTATACATTTAACATACTGTATATATGAGCTCAAAATGCCATTCATTGCCCAGCGGCTACATTAAAAAAAAATTCATGTGTAGTTACTCTAAATCATTTTTCCCCAAAAAAACACAAAATTCATTGGAATTTGGAAATGTGTGTGACACTGATTCCTCCTGACATGTGAGGTGACCACCACCCAAGCCGGGCAGAACAACTGAGAACATCCTCGCACAGCATGCCAACCTTGACTAAGTCCATCACTCTGTTCCACACACCAGAGTAACTGAGGCTCTGAAGGACAGATGGATACCTGGAGAGGATGCCACCTGCATGGCCACCCACCAGTGAACGGAGGCCACCAACTCATTTCCCTGAGTCAGGAGGGCAGGTAGATTCCAAGACAGACAGGCCCCAAGTCTCTGCCCAAGCCCCACCTTTCTTGGAGGGAGGTGCTGCTGGTTTCTGGGAAGTTCTCTGACCTGGGCTGCAGAGGCTGTCACCCCAGGGCTGCTGGCCCCAGACAGCTCACACTTGGGAAACAGGAACCTGCCTCCACTTGAACCAGTAACAATCCCCAAACTCAGCAACGGGAAACATTTCTCAAAGTCAACCTGAGGCCACGTGTGTGTCAGCCGGAGGCTCGGGGGTTGGAGGGGTGGGGGAAGGTGCTCCGCTTCCCAAGGTCTCTCTGCCAACGGCAGCCTTACCAGCACAGGAGATGGTCCAGAGGGTGTCTGGACTGGTGGCCAAGGGTGCTTGGGCCAAGATGGGGCTGGGGCTGCCAACATGGCTCTTAAGGGGTATATAAGGGATGCAATCAAGCTAGTCGGGTGGCCTCTAAGACCTACGAGCCCCTACAGAGGGAGGTCAGAGGGCCCTGCTCCGCATCACTCCGTACTCCCCAGCCACCCTGCTGGGAGCCTCTCCTAGCGGCCTGCCACCGAGGCCCCTCTCCCACCACCTTTCCTTCTGCGACATCCTTTAAGCATCTGACGAAATCAGCTTTCCCCAGGAATAAATACAACCAGACTACTCAGGACCAAAACCAGAACAAGGGTCACAGTGAGGAGGGAAGCAAGTCCCTCCTCCTCACAGCAGTGGCCACTGCGCTGCCGGCATGTGCCCCGGGACACACCCTCTCCCCTAAGCTGCTCTCCTGCCTCCGGCTGCCACTGCAGCATCTTTCTTACCCCTTGGGGCACAAGGCCTGCCCCAGCCGGATCCAGGGCCTACTGAGACACATCTGAAAGGCTCCGCAAATGGGGGAAGCATGAACGCTTAAGGGCTGGACCAGTGCACAAGCCACCGTCCTCGGGGGGCAGACCCAGCCTTCCTGGAACTATTTCCGATGCAATCTGGGAAGAAAATCCAACATCCCTAAGTGGCCTTTCTCTGCAGGTGTGCTGGGTGCATGTGGCAGGGTGTATGGCTAAAGGAGGGGGTGCCTGCCCGAAACCCTTAAAGGCTCCGGCCAGGCATCACACAATGCTAGCAGACCCCACAAGCTTATCAGGCAATCAAACGATTCTCAGTAAGTGGACCTGACAAAGCAGAGAAAAGACTCAGCTCCTTAGTACCATGCTGTCTATAGCTTGTCATTACAAAAGTCTCCTTTCGGGATATGAGCTGGAAGCTCTTCCTGCAACAGCCGGCGAAGGGGCGGGGAAGGGCAGATAACTAGCGCTGAAGGGCTCCTGACAGTATGAGACAGTGGGTGCTTTCGTTCACACAGCGGCCCTGGAGGCCACGCAGCTGGCAGCACCAGCCCGTCCCCTGCAGGCCCCGGCTCCCACTATCTGCTGGGCTGCAGGTACTGGTGCGTGAACATGTTGAGCTCGCTGTCCAACCATCCGGCCTTATTCCTGCAGAGACATGGTTATTCTGTAGTGGAAACAGCTGACCAGAGGTAACAGCACTATGCGCCAAGCACGGTTCCAAGGAAACTCGACATGTAGCCTCATTTCCTCTGATAACTGCCCCACTTTACAGATAAATGAGGCCCAGAGAGGGGAAATAACATCCTACGGTCACACGATTAATCGGGTGGAGACAAAAACCAGGCTTTTCTGACCCTCAAGCCCTGTGTTTGCTTCACCTGGGCCCACAGGCAGGTCCCTGAACTGCTGGGAATCCAGTGTTCCTGTCAGAGTGCGTTGGGCTGCAATACTCAGCACTCTGCAGGTGTACCCTGTCCTTATGTGTGACGGGCAGCAGACGCACACTTACGCCCCCGTGATGAGTTATCTCAGGGGTGTGTCCCTAGAAAATGCTGTCCTATGCTGGTGGGCGGGAGGCACAACCGCACATCAGGGACAAAAAGCCCCCTGGGCTGCTGAGGGCACTGGCGCTGTGCCTGCTGGTACAGCCCCCCTCTGGCGCTGACGTCAGGGGCAGGGGCAGGAAGCACGGGGTCCCCGTGTACTGATGTTATCTTGCGCCGAGGGCTTCTGCAGAGCACTTGTACGTGCAGCTCTGTGGCTGTGTCCTGAAATCTTACTCCATTTTGCAGACGAAAACACAACACAGGCAAGCTCAGCAATTTGTCCCAATGTAAGTGCCTGGCCCAAAGCCCAGGACTCCTGAACCCTACGTCCATCCTCTCTCAGCAAACTGCTGATGGAAGCTCGGACTTTCAACAGGGACCTCACGCAGACCTGGGTTCCATTTCAGGATCTGCCAGTTGCCAGCCACCTACTCAGTTTCCCTGTGGGTAAAAAGGCTGATACCCCTTCCCTGGACTCTGACAGAAATGGAGTAAAGTGTGTGGCGGGTCTGGCCCAGTGTCCACAGCACTCTTGGACTTCAGGCTTGAACTTACTGTGGGATCCCAGACAGGTGACCTCACCCCTGTAGGCCCTAATTTTCCTTTTTATAAAATGGGGATGACGACAGGCCCCCGAAGGGATGTTGGAAGCTGAGTGGAACAACATGTGTCAAATGCCCGAGCTGCTGCAGTTAAGGAGCAGGTGCCTGTGGGCTGTAACCTCGGGAAGCCACAGTGCTTGGTTCCTCTGCTGCCACTGTGGCCCCGGCTGCAAGTGCCTGGAGGGCAGTGAGAGCATCTTGAACCTCCAGCACTGGCACCGTATCTGGCACCCAGCAGGGGTTCAGCAAACACCTAACACATGAGCACATTAAATCCCCCCCAGAGGTTATGACCATGGCAAGACACAGAGAGGAGGCTCAGCTCTTAATGTGCCCAAGGCCCCTGCTGCCAGGCCAGCCTCACCTGAGCAGCTTTGCTTTGCTCTGAAGTGAATCAAGAACCTCAATTTTCTTGTTCATGGCGGAAATTTCCTGCTCCAGGTTCTCCCGGGTGACATCAACTTGCTGGCACAGATGAGCAAAGGTCCCAGACAGTTCTCTGAGTGGGGAGAGATAGGGATCAAATGGGCCACACAGCTCTTTTGCAGAACATCATTAGTGTCTAAATCCAACCCAGAGCGGATGGCAGCTGGTCCATCTGTCACCTGCCGGAAGCTCTGCCCGGAGCCGGTCCTGGTTTGACCACCGTGGGTCTCCCCCACCCACTCTCTGCTGAGACTATGGACATCACCATCACCATACACATTCACAAACACCACAGAGTGAGACCCAGCAGCACAGAGCAGCGTGCCCCAAGCGGGGCAGAGGAGACCAGGATTCAAATCCTGACTCTACTGTTAAGCAGCCAAGTGGCAGGGGACAGGTGACTACTCTTCTTGTCTCCTCAATTTGAAAAAGGAGACGCCAAAAAAAACAATGCCTACCTCAAAGGGCTGGAGGAGAAAATGAAAAATCAGGTGCAAAATGCCTAGCAGAGGGCCTGCCACATATCAATAAAAGGCAGGCAGCTAGCCATGCACCCCCACCACCCAAATCAAGCAACCGATTCCCACCTGGCCTAAGACACACTGTGAAGACAGGGCTGTGGCTTAGAATTTCAAAGCTACATCCACAACCCAAGCCCTTCAAAGACAACCTTCAAAAACTTCTACAAGTAACATCCTTCAACGTCCTGTGTCCCGTGTCTTCCTTCCCTGGGGGACCAGAGGCCGCCATGATCCCAGCCCTGGACATCAGGTGTCCCTGGAGAGACCTCTTTCCCATTCCTGGCCTCAAAGCTGGCAGTGCACAATGGAAGGGCAGATGATGCTCAGGACCCAGTGGGTTCCAGGCCAGGTTATAAGGAAGCCTAGGGAGACATCCCAAACCACTGGAGCCGGTGCCAGCCCCTCGGGGCTGATGGGGCCACTCACTGCTGGACCTGGTGGCTGCAGTTGGAGCCGGTGTAGCTGATGATAAGCTGCAGTTTCTCGCTGGCATACTCCACAAACTGGCGCTTGAAGGCCCTCTCCTTGGCCTTGGTGGTCCAGGTCAGACGCTCATAGACATACAGGAGGCCATACAGCCCAAAGGAGAGGGCAATGAGCCGCCAGCCCACCGCCTTCCACACCTGCAGAGGCATGACGGTCAGCCGGTATAGCCTCTCTGCCCATCATCTTGGCCCGTCACTGCCAGAACTTTCCCAAGAGCTCAGGGGAGCCTGTGCTTCTACTCAGAATACCTCTTCTGATGTCTCTTTGGTTCCACTGAGACAGAAGGGCAGTGTTTTGGACACATTCTAGTTTGGAAACAAGGGAAGCTTAGTGTTGGCTATGTGATGTGACTGGTGGAAAGGGCCAGGGGAGGCGGGTGGGAGGTGTTAGGACCAGAAGTACAGATCCAGGCACACAGAATTCTGACAGCTAAATGCTAGCGTGTTCTGAAGCGACATTCCAGTCTCGTGATGAGTAGAATTCAGCACACCATTCCTCAGTGGGTGGCTTCTTTTGGTTTGGTTTGTAATACTTTGGTTCAAGGCAGTGTGGTTATAATCAAAGAGCACTAGACTTGCAGCCAGAAATTGGGGCTCCAGTGCTGCCTACCATCCTGGCTATGTGACCCTGAGCAAGTTTCTTTATGCCTGTTTCCTCCCAAAACAGGCATAATGGTTTCTGCCCAATTCACAGGGTTGTCTGAGTAAAACAAGACCCTGTAAAAGCATTACAGAGCCATCAAATGTCAGTGTCTCAGCCAATGACCCTCTGCCCAGCCACGGTCTAGGAGAAAAGAAACCAGAGAGTGTGATGTCTGAGGAGAGGTGGCTGGGGGGGCCCTTGGCTCTGCCACACTTGGTCTTACAAGCCCACAGTGTCACAGTTCCATTCTGCCACCAATCTACAACTCAATGCCCATGCAAGAGAGAACTTCCGACATCACCAAGAAAATTCAAGGTATGAATTAGCCTGACTGCTGTGTGTCCTATCAGGACATGGAAGTAGCCCGGTTATCAAGAAGGCCACCTGGAAAGGAAAAGACAAAACGAGGAGGTGGAGAGATGGGGTTCAAAGGCTGGCCTCTTTTTGCCTTAACAAAACCCCTGTAGTTTTGCTCTCAATTTCCTCACCTACAAATGAGAAACTCCTGGTCACACCACCTCTCTAGAATCCAGGTCTGTCAGTTTCTCAGGTCACTTCCCCACCCATCATGTAGTATAGGCCCTACAGGGGAAAGAACATGGCCGGTGGCGGGGGTCAGATGGGGCCAGAGTTCAGTCCTAGCTGTATGTCTTTGGCAAGCCTACCACAACTTTCCTCTTCCATAACATGGGAATGGTGCTGTCTACATATCTCATTTGTCAAGTGAGACTTAAATAGGTCAATAAATATACATTAAAAAGCTAAGGCTACATAGCTGCCCACAAGATCACAGCGAAGTCTTTGCTGAATGTGAAAATGCTGTGCTCACTGTGAGAGGCAGGCATGCCCACCAGAACGGTGCCCCTCAGTCCCTGCCTGCCCGCCCCACCTCCAACCTTCCCCAGCGGGGCTAATCACTGACCACTCCTCCGACGACAAGAATGCCCATGGAGGTTCTAGACGTCAGAGACGCCAGGCCAGTGACCATGGAAACCATGAGCTCTTCCTGGGTGAGGGAGCCCTGTGGCAGCGGAGGCATGCTGGGGTTGGCTGGTGTCAGGGGGACAGGACGCTGCACCTGGAGAGAGAGGTGAGGAGAGGTAAGAAGAGCCGGGCAAGCCTCCCATTCAACAGACCTTCAGTGATTCTCAAGGCTGAGTCCTGCGACAGGGACACAGAGACTAGCTCTTCGATTTCAGGAGGGAAAGTGAGCTTTGCGTGTAGCAAAGGATTTATGCTTCCTAACAGACCTGCCAGCCCAAAGGTCAGCAGTGTGGGGACCCTCTTTCAGAATGGCTCATGTGTGGAGGCGGGGTGCGCAATGACCTCGTGAGATGCCCACGGTGAGGGGCTTTGCTTGCCTGGTCGTTGTAGCCCATCAAGGCCCGGCGGCTGTTCTTGGGGCCCAGGAACCTGTTCACCAGCATGGTCCACCCGAGAGAAAAATGGAACTCAATGTCCTCCTGGAAGTCAGCACACAGCTTGTCACAGTTGAGGTCATAGCTGAGGGAGAAGCACTGCCGAGGGACCAGCATGTCTATCTGACTCCGCAGAGACACAGGAAGGAGCGGTTTCAAGCCGTCTGTTAGGGACAGAAGTGGGTAGAAAGCACATCAGCTCAGGCCTGTGCCACACCAGGGCCAAGCCTCGGAACGGGGGCCGACCCAGCTACTGCCAAGGATGCTGCCCAGAAACCAGGCCTGGATAAGGGGGCCTGTGGGGCTGGAATGTGTCACTCGGGCGTGCGGGCCAGCTCTCCCTAGGGATCTGCAGACCAAGGATCCACACCTAACATTTATGCCTCGTGTGCACTTAAGGAGCAGGCGAAGCTCTCAACCTGTGAGTCCCAAGTGGTAACAAGTTGGTTCACTGAGTCCATGTGTGGATGAACATAACATACCCAGAATCAGAAGGTATCAAGATGACTCATCAGAAAGGTGACAGATAAGGGAAGGTCACTCTTTCCGCAGACTTGCCTCTGAAGCTGAGCTCCAGGCAGCCCTGAGCCCCAGTCCTGAGTCCCTCGGCAACACTGACCTATCATCTCCTGCTGCATGGTTTGCAGGGAGCTGGTGATGGCCGTGGAGCAGCGGTCAGACATGTTTCGGCCCAGTCCTTCCTCTATATGGCGGTGTAGTTCCTGCAGCCAGAAGAGAAGTTAAGGAAAGCAGGATTCCCCCGGCATCAGGAGTTCCTTCTGGGGAACCAAGGACAAGGAGATCCGAGCTGGTCAGACTACACCCACCAGGTGACCTCAGAAAACTGAGTGGAACCTAGGTCTCATCCCCCTCCTAGCTGAGGGGCCTGCACACCTGGCAGGGGCTAAATCAGTATCTGCCTGGCAATTCCACGTGGTAGCCAAAAGGATTTAAAGGGGGTCCCTGCCAGAGCACCTGCTGCTTAATGACTCACATTCTTATAAACCTTGAGGACTACTGGCGAAGGATGGAAATCCATCTGGTACTCGTCCACCAGCACAGAGAGGCGCCTGATCTCCTCTGCCATCGCAGTTGACACCTAGAACAGGAGGAAGCACGCTGTAAGCATTAAGGAAGACTACTGTTCAATTCTGCAGCACCAAGAGAGAGCCTAACAGGTTCTGCTAGACCGCGTGCATCTCCTTCCCCTCAAACCAGCAGTTTCCTTAGCTGTTCTATGGAATTAAGCTTCTCAGGAGAAAGGATGTCGGAGATTGGCTAACCAAACACTCATCCAAGATATGGACAGGGAGGTCCAGCGGGCAGCTTGCTCAGGGTCACACGGTGGACGGACCAATGCAACTCGGACGTTCTACATTCGTGAACCAGAGCCACAACTTCCTCTGGAAGGCTGAGAAGCCCCCTAAGATGAGGAGGTCTGTTTTCTCACTTTTCCAGCACCCTGGACTCTATTTTAAGTCCCAATCTCCCCCGGTACTTCCTCCCTGCTTCTCACCTGCCTTTCAACTTCCTCTGTAATCTGCTTAATTCTCAGTTTGTAGTCTTGTGCCAAGAGCTCCAACTGTTTGTCAATAAATCTCAGTCGCTCCTGCCGCTCTTCTCGCAGCTCCAGACAGTAAACCCTGAAAGAAAGGGTGCTGGTTACAAGACCCAGGTCCCCAGCCAACTAGGCAGAGGAGCGAGAGGGGACACCAGAGAGCCTAAGTGGGCCCTAGCTGTGCCCCCGGCCACGGTGAGGCCAGGGGGCTGTGGCAGTTTCACGCACATACCCAGGGCACAACTTTCCCGTCCCTGGCATGAGGGAGAGAAACACCAACTGACTCCCTCTAAGTCTTCCAATTTGGAAGACATGGTAGTGATAGAGAGGGAGGTGTTGTCAGGGGTTTTAGAGCAAGTTCTGCCAATTAATATAGGTTAAAAAAAAGAACTCAACATCACTAGTGATCAGGGCAATGAAATTAAAAAGAGGTATTACCCTATCCAGAAGCTTGGCAAAAATCACATCTGAAATATTGGTAAGGGCTGGGGAAATGGGATTTGCAGCGAATCCTGCTGGTGGACTATGAGTGGGTTCAGATGTTCAGAAAGCAACGAAGTACAACTGGGCGAGACTGACAAGGTGTATTCCCCAGAGGAGGCAGTGCCACCTGCAGGAATGAGTCCCAGGAAGCCTCACCAGTGTGCATAAGGGCACGCACACACTGGTGCCCCCTGCAGGAGGGTGTGTAATAGCAAAGTAACAAAATGTAAAAATCAATCTATGGGAAAATGGGGTCTATGCACCATGGAGTACTCGACAGCACTGAACAGTCATAAACTCCAACTCCATGTACCTACAAGGATAAAGGGCAAAAAAGCTGCTGAGCAGGAAGAAATACAAGGTGCAGCAACACGCACAGTGTGAGACTATTTCTGCACTTAAAGCCTGTACAAAGCAACGTGATATTCTTCACTATTTACATAAAAGGTGCTTTTTAAATGGACAACAGGATTACAGGCCAAACCCATGACTGTGGCTGCCTGAGTAGGCTGAGTGACACCAGGACAGGGGCTGACGAATCAAAGGGTGTTTAACATTTTTGCCTGTTTCATTTTAATATTAAGCACACTATCAATTCTGTGTGGTAGAAGCAAGTAAGGTATTTTAGTATTGTTCTCCATATTCTCCTACATCTTAATTTCTCCTAAGAAGAGTTACTTTTAAAAGCTGCTCTGCTTCTGGCCCTGAGAATGGCTGCAGGACACGGAGCGGGGCTGGGCCAAGGCCTCCACCGCAAACACGTCAGGTAGCCCCACAGAGAGCCACACAGCATGGGCCAGACAGGCCAGACAGTCACCCAGTGTCCCCTCGCCAGGCGGCTCCACGTGGATCTAACAGGGCCTGGGGGGAATCCAAGGAGTCAGCTCTGGATGCAGGGCTCTAAGCCTGGGCCCATTCCCCAGGCAAAGGGTCAGCGATCACTGCCTGGCACTCCCCTCCACCCGTCCACGTCTCGTTCTTACCGCTGCTCCTGTGCCGCGATGTGCAGAGAGTCCATGATGAGCCGAACTGCCTCTGCGATCTGCTTGGCCCGCACGGTATGCTGCTCAAACTTGGTCTTCACCGCCGACTGGGAGATGCACTCCTGGAACAGAAGAGGTTCTGAGGGAGGCAGAGGACACCAGAGGCCACCGGTCTCGGGCCAGGCTCTGGCCTTCACTGCCAGGGACAGGGCTGGGAGAGGTAGGGAGGTGCAGACCCTTAGATACCAGAATCAAAAGACTCACCTCAAATCTCCTCTCAAAATTCTGAAACTCAAACATCCTCACTTGAAAGCCTTCTGCAAGAGCGCCCCCTAGGAGAATTGCACCACCTTAGTCGGAAAATAACTTGTCCGCACAGGAAAATGCAATCCCCCAAAGCCAACCAACTCTGGGCACTTGGCTCAACACTGGCTGGACAGCACAGAGCGACCCACTCGAAGCTTCGCACCAGCTCCTTCTCAGGGCTGTTTCCTACCAGCTGACTGGGCCCAAGAGCAAATGTCTCAAACACGAGGGGAAAGGAAGGAGTCTGTTCCATCCTCACCTCCTTCGGGCATGCCCTGGGCCTTCTGGATCCTGGCGTTGAGCACCTCCTTGGCAGACACAAAGAAGATGCGGTCTCCAGCCTGGCCGCGATCCACCACGCCCAGCTCATCCACCAGGAAGCTCGTACAGCGCTCCATGTGCTGTCGCCGCACCTGGACCCAAGCAGATGGTGTGTGTGACCAGGTGGCAGAGGCGTGTGGGCCCCTCCTCACAGAGCCCACAGCCTCCAACTGCCCCTGGTCAGGAAACAGGGACTATATTCATGTGACTTGGTATTCCAAGGTACAAAGAGGGCAACCATCTCCCACCATCCCTGCTGTCTGACCACCAGGCTCCGCAGAAGTAATGCCATGGGGGTTTCTTGGGGTACAGCTGCCAAAGACGTCTTATGCATAAAGAAACAAAAATGCTTAAACATACCTCAAACTGCCTCTTACCAGCCCTTCTTTGGTACCCCAGAAGGAAAGAAACTGGGGGTCAAAAAACCTAAACCTGGGCTCTGTACTGATTCCAGGACCTCATTTACAAAGTGAGTGGATACCACCTGAAAATCCCTTCTAGCCTCAAGTCCTAAGACTACCGCAGAACTTAAAAACGGCAACAGCCTCCTGTGGACAGCTGCCACGTGACAGGCGCTTTTCTCAATGTTAACAGATTCCATCCTCTCAACAACTACTTCTTAGATCCATGAGACAGGTGAGGAATTTCCCAGAAGGCTTGAAGAATTTACCAGTCACCCTGGCCAGTATCAGCCTGCGGACAGCACACCTTATCATCCCATGTTGCTTATCTGTTACTCCTTTTTCTTTCACTTCACACATAAAGAGTAAAGAATTATGAGTTGTCTATAAGAACCAGTATTCCTCGTTCCTCTTTCCAGTTTCTTTCTTGGATGTCTTCCGAAAGCTGAGCCTGCTCTATAATGATTAACCCTTTATGAACGAACTAAAGTGAGCACTGGCCCTAAACGAGGATGCAGGGAGCGTGGTGGGGACATTTTGCAGATCTGGATGCAAGGCTTGTGAGTGGAGGGACCCAGGGACGTGAACAGGGAGATGTGAAGGGAGGGTTTTTACAGCCATCAGAAGACACCACAGCGAGTGCATGGACACTTGGGAAATCTCTGGTGATGAAATCCATGCTGGGAAGTCACAAACCTGATGGAGCCTCCGTGTGCAGGAAGAGCCCCAGGTGGGTGTGGGGTAGCACCCCACAAAACGCTTAGTAAAGGGGCACCAACCTCCTCCATGTACTCAGGCTCCGAGGCAGACGCATCCCAGCGGTTGTTCAGGATGAAGATGTTCGGGCGAGACAGGCGCTCGCTCACCTTGTGGAAGAATTGCTTTTCCTGCACAAGAGGGAAAGGCCTCTGTGGGGGAGTGGCTATGCCGGCCAAGGCCCTGTCACCCATCCGCACAGACATCCTAGGAGTGCAGGAAAAGGCTGGAAAGGGGTACCGTCTGCATCAGGGTGGACTCCGAGTTAGCCACCAGCACAAACACATCCGCATCCAGGCAAAACTTGTCAATCCAGCTGTCCAGCTCTGTGGTGACATCGATGCCAGGGCTAAAGGGGACAGCAGTAACCCACCATCAGGCACACAGACTATGAGCCCTATCCTCCCTGCCTTGAAGAGACCTGAGTCAGCCAGGCACAGCAGAAATCTACAGAGGTCGTTTTGGATGGAGTTTTGTCTCTCATGTTGTATCCTTCCAGACTGTCTGAAGGTTTCTGTCACATCCATCTGTCACTTTTATAACAACGTAATGATTTGTGACTTTACCTTGGGGATATATAGTTAGGGCAAAGGCTGCATTTATGGGAAGCTAGTGGGCACTACAGTACCATACTGCTTGGTACAGTTATAACTGTCCACAAAGCAGAAGCCGAGTGTTCAGGACGAATCACATGCAACATGGGCCCCACCCCCACACGAACACTGGGCATTGGGTTGAGGATGAAAACCGTCCCAATTTTGACACTCCTTCTATCCCTCTTCACAAACTACCACTGGGACACCTTCAGGCACTGATGCCAATGGACACAATAACTAGACCCTCGGGGAAATTCAAGAGGAAGGAGGATTTGGCTGAGCCAGTTTGAAAGGCAGCACCCTTAAGCACAGAGCAACCACCAAACATGGGGGACCTTGGCCTGGACGACCCAGAAATAGAAACATGGTGCCCTCCCAGTCTGGACATCCTAGGGAGGCACCTTCTCTCTTACCTGTCCATCAACACGAGGTCATCCTTCAGAAGTGGGCACTTGGAGTTGGGCCACATTACACTCACCAGGCTGCCAGCATGCAGCTGCTCATCCTGGTGGAGGGCATGGGCCAACTGGTTCACAGTCTGACGGTGGAGGAGGGAAAAGAAGAGCAGGGCTGAGGAAGAGCTGCCAGCTAGACTCCCTGTGCTGCCTGGCTTGGCACAGCAGCCCGAGACTGCTGCCCGATCGCTACCCCTTTTACTTTCACACAGTCAAGAGCTAGGAGATGCCAATAAGAACCAACTATTCTTCACTCGTTTAACCTTCTTTCTTGGAGGTTGTCCTACAGCTGAGGTTATTCTGCATTAAGTCCTTATGAATCAAAATGAGCATCTGGCTCCAAACAAGAATGCAACTGACTCACAGAAAAAAAAAAAATGTGCAAGCCCCTAGCTGATATGTCAGAATCACAGAGCAAATTCAGGACTCCGTTTCTGGAAAGAACATAAAAAAAAAAAAAACAGGCACATCATTTCTTCACAGCAAAGAGAAAGGTCAGATGGCTTGCTTGGCAATACAGGAGGCCTCTGCACTCCAGGTTTCAGACCCTCCCCAAACTCCTGCCACCTCTGGACATCCAGGCTAGCTGGGGGCTTCTGTACCCACCACAGGGCACCACCCTCTCCTTAGAGGGCTGTCGGTCCTGTCACAATGGTGTGCTGGTTGCTCTAAGCCCGGACTTGATCTGCCAGTGTGCCCAGAGCAAAAAGCCAGGCTGCATGCCACCCCCAGCATGGTCCCCGCCACAGCCCCCTTACCTTGACGCTCCTCTTCTCCTCTGAGCCCTCCGTGAGGAGGAAGGCCTCGTGGCCATCTGTGCCCTCCACCCGCAGGAAGCAATTGGTGGTGTGGCCGATCCCAGAGGGCAGAACTTTGTCCCAGAGCATAGCATTGATCACGGTGCTCTTGCCATTGCTCGTCCTACGGGAGATGGTGGCTGTCAGTGAAGCTGCCGACATCTGAGTTCTGGGCTTTGATGATGAAGTTAACCAGCCTGGAAGGCCAAAGTCCTGTTCTCTGCACTGACACCAGTGCCCAGACAGGCAGAGTGGGTGTGTGTTGATGAACACGGATGGATAAACACCTCCGTGCCTGCTCCAGGCTCATCACCGCAAACTCATCTGTGAGGGGCTCCCGCAGTGGGCCCTTCATGTGCCTGAGGAAGCCCACGGCCACGGAGACCACTTTCTCTGAAGGAAACGCTCCCTTCTGCTTGTAACACTGGCTCACCCACAGGGGTGTCTTGCTCTGTGTAGGTAACCTCAGCTGAGTGACCCGATGTCCCCGGGTCTCCACAAAGGGCCCAGTCGGCTGCTCTTCCCTCATCTGCGGCTCCTCACCCGCGCACCCCACCCTGCCAGCCCCAGCTGAACCCGCCAGCGGTGGGGAGGGACTGGAGTGCTGCTGCCTCGGCACCTCTTCTCTACATTCCGGGTCTCGGGACCGGCTCTCCTTGGCACACCCATCTGCTCTGGCCTGCCAGCTCACCAAGGTGAGGGTGAGGCGACGGCGACGAGATGACAGCCCCAAGGAGCTGAGCGCCATGGGTCATCAGGGGCAGGACTCAAGCCAGACGGCCTGTTCCTCAGGCTACCACTGTGAGCACGGCATCCAACCTGTCTGGGTGGTGGCCTTTTTTCCTATATTGGATTTTAATTTTTTTAAAGGTGTTAAATATAAATTTTTTTATATTTGGCCTTTGTCCCCAGTTTCTGGCATAGAGCTCCTAAAACTCTTAGGATTCCCTGAGTGAAGGGAATGTGTCATTTACAGGAGCCCTTTGGGGCACACCTGCCTTTGCTACGCTGAGGCCCTTAGACAGCCTCAGGATGGGACTAGTCACCAGAAAGATTAGAGGGTTGGATCTGTCAGCCCTGCCCACTGCCCTCTGGGGAAAGGGAGGGGGGCGTGGTTTAAGCTCCATAAAAACTCTTGAACAAAGAGGGACAGTGAGCTTCAGGGGTATGAGGCATCCATAGCTGCACCCCCAGCTCCATGGGGACAGAAGCCCCTGTGCTCGGGACCCTCTCGGACCTCTTCATCTGGCTACTCATCTGCGTCCTTTATAACATCCTTTATAATAAGCCAATAAACGTGTCCCTGAGGTATGTGAGCCACTCTAGCCAATCAGTCAAACCAGAGGAGGTCATGGGAACCTCTGATTCACAGCCAGTCAGTCAGAAGCACAAGTTTCCAAATGCAGTCTGAGGTAGGAGAGGTCTGGTGGGACTGAGCCCTTAACCTGCAGGATCTGATGCAGCCTCTAGGTGACAGAATCAGAACTGAGTTCAAATTGAAGTCACAGAAATGGGAACCTGCCGAGAATGGAGAACTGCGTGGTGGCTGGACAACCTTCCAGAGGTGCCGACCAGGCCTCAGAGTGGGACAAGGAGATCTGACGGTGAGAACAACAAACTTGTAGAAGAAAACAAGCGGAAAGCCTAGAGACGCTGGATCTGGCAATTTCTTATATATGCCACCCAAAAGTATAAATAGATAAACTGGACTATATCAAAATAAAAAACTTCTGTGCATCAAAGGACATTGTCAGAGTGAACAGGCAACCCATAGAATGGGAGAAAATACTAAAAATCACATATATGATAGGTGATCAATATCCAGAATATATAAAGAACTCCTACAACTAAACAGAAAAAAAACTAACCACACGATTTAAAAATGGGCAAAGGACTTGAATAGACATTTCTCCAAAGATACACAAATGGCCAATGAGCAAATGAAAAGATGTTCACCAGCACTAATGAGGGAAATGCAAACCAAAACCACAATGAGGCATCAACTCACACCCATCAGGATGGATACTATCAAAGACACAGAAAACAAGTGTTGGAAGGATGTGGAGAGACTGGAACCCCTATACACTGCTGGTGGGAATATAAAACGGTGCAGCCCAGAAGGTGGGAGGGCTTCAGGGAGGGCCTATGGCAAACAATACTGTGGTCCTCAAAAGATTAAAAATACAATCACCACAGGATCCAGTAATTCTATTTCTGAGTGGGTATATATCCAAAAGAACTGAAAGTAGGGTCTCAAACAGACATTTCTATACATACGTTCTCAGCAGCATTAGTCACAAGAGCCAGAAAATGAAAGCCACCCAAGTGTCTATTATGGATGAATGAATAAAGAAGGTATGTTACAGACATACAGTGGAGTATCATTCAGCCTTAAAATGGGGTTCTGACACAAGCTACAACACGGATGAACCTTGAGGACATTAGGCCAAGTGAAATAAGCCAGTCACAAAAGACAAGTGGTGTATGATTCCACTTATATGAGCTCCCTGGAGTAGCCACATTCATAGAGACACAAAGTCCCTAGGTGGCTGAAGAACGGTGGTTGACAGGGGCAGGGAGAAGAAGCGAACGGGGAGTTAATAGTTTGCTTTGCAAGATGAAGGAGTTCTAGAGATGGTTGGTGGTGATGGCTGCACAACAATGTGAATGCACGTAAAACTAGTGATCTATACATTTGAGAATGGTTATGATGGTAAATTTTATGTGTATTTTACTACAATTAAAAATAAAAATAAGAAGCAGAGCAACGAACTGAGGCATGCTGGCTGCTCCCAGCCCTAGAGTGCTCAGGCTGCGATTCTGCAAAGTCCCTCCGCCCGCCCAGCTGGGAAGAAAGAAGCTGCGAAGGCTTAGACTCACCGGCCGAAAAAAGCCACTTTCATGTGCCGCCGAGCCAGCACCTCGCTGATGCCCCTCACTTTGGACAGGTAACTTCTGACATCCAGAACCTGTTCTTCCGTTGTAACCGGGTCCAGTTCCGCGTTCCTGTGGGTGTCTGGGGTGGAGATTGAAAATGGGTCAGCACATGGTCCAAGGAGCTCCACAGTCACAAGTCTTGGAGGGGGTGGAGTCCGCCACCACAGCCCCCTGCCGTCGCTGGCCCCAAGAGCCGGCTCCCCACTGGGGGGCCACTGAGCAGAGTTAAGAACTGGGCTCGGGAGCAAGGCCGCCTGCGTTCCAGTGCAAGGAAGTGGTGGTTCTTCCCTCTTTTTGGCTTTGTGACCTCAGCCAAGTGAACCCTACTGGGTCTTAGTTTCCTCTCCCATTAAACAGACAGAAGAAGTTCCATATGCAACTGCTGCGAGGACTAAATGAATTACACCACAAGAACGGCCAAGAGTGGTGGCAGGAACAACTGCTACCACTTACGTAAGTCATTTTTACTTTACTTAATGAGTGCTTTCAAAGTTCTCACTACATATCACACTCTGATGACTTTTCAAACAGTTTAATTTAATCCTTCATCAATTACCTGCCACTGTTAATAACTTGGCAGAACCGGGACTGGGACCAGGCAGCCTGGCTCCAGAGTCCGAGCTCTTAAGCACCCTGCCCCCTCCATGAGGCCCCCTTGTAATCTGGCTCCATTGCTGCCTCAGCCGAGGCTCCTGCCAGGCCCTGACTCACATTCCACATCCCCACCGCAGCACACCACCTCGTCATTACTCTGGGCTTTGCTCGGGGCTGCAGATCCCCTCCTACCACTCCGGAGAACTGATGCACTGCCTTGGGGGACCCTGGCTCATTCCCACTTAGCCTCAGATCTTGCCTGGACTGCACAGCCCCCGGAAAGCCTTCTCTGACCCCCCACCTGAGCCAGGACCCCTTGTTTGTGCTCCCCATTACAGCCCCCATACTTCTCCCATCATAGATCGTATCTCAACATAGTGTAGCCAAGGGGCTCACCTGTGCGCACCACCTACCAAGTGATCCCAGCACCCAGCGCTCGGTAGGTGCGCAATGTTGGGGACCACTGCACTGCTTTTTCCCAGTGCCCTTGACAGGAAGATAGGTAACAAATTTTGACAGATGGGAGCATCTGAGCAAGATCCTGCTCCTGCCCCACCTAGTACTTGCAGCAGAGTAGGCTGGTGAGCAGATGCACGCCTGGCACTGCTTAATGCACTCTGAGTGCAGCAGACTGTTTATGGCCCCCCACGTGATGGTAAATGGCATGATGGTATATGGAGGTGAGGCCTCTGGCAGGTGCTTAGGTCATGACAGTGGAGCCCTCATGAATGGGATTCGTGCCCTTATAAAGAGACCCCGGAGAGCTGACTAGCCCTTTCTGCCATGTGGTTACATGTGACATTACAGAGAAAAGATCAGTCTAGGAAGCAGTCCTCACTAGACACCCAATCTGCTGGTGTCTTGACCTTGGACTTCCCAGCCTCCAAAACTGTGAGAAATACATTTGTTGTTCATGAGCCTCTGGTATTTCTGTCACAGAAGCCCAAACGGACTAAGACACTTGAGAACCACCGGGCTGACAGGTCCCGTCCCTGAGAGCACCCCCACAGCACCCAGAGCATGGCAATTGTATCAGAGACTGCCCAGTGAGTTTCCCCTGCAGCTGGTGCTGTGCGGAAAGTGACCAAACCAACAAGGCCCCCAGGTCTGCTGGCTGCCCCTGCCTCAGACCCGCCAGCACCCATCCCTGTTGTGGGTGCATACTTGCGGCCTGTGGAGGGTACCCCGGGGGAAGCTGGCTCTCAAGCATGTGGCTACATTTAAAGGAAACAGTCAGTAAGTCAAAAAGCTCTCATTACCTGCCCTTTAGAGAACAGTCCCAGGGTGGTCGCCATCCCCTCTCCTAGCCTGGGCAATCCCAAACAATCTCAGGATCACTCCAGGCCTTTCCCTTCCAGTCCACCAATAAGAAAGGCCTCATATTTTTTACAAAGAGAGAAATCAAAATACCTGTTCCTGATGCTATCACTTGAACACCTTCATTAGCACACGTTTGTCCACAGGACCACCTGAGTAAGTGACTCAGAGCATCACGCAGGGTCAGTCTGGGCTCTGGTGTGCCCCACCTCTGCATGCACAGTGCCATGCACACCAGAACCACTGCTGAGCAAACAGGTGCTGAGCTGGAATAACTTCAACTACAGGATTATAACTTTAAAATTCAGATATTTAAATTTAACAAATACTTAGGGAATACCTCGTTTTGCATCAGGCACATGCTAAGGGCAGGGCATACATAGACTTTCCTTAGTCTTAGTCTGTGTGGACTGCTGTAACAAAACACCACACGCCGCGTGGTTCACACGTAACAGAAATGAGTTACTCACAATGCTGGTGGCTCAGATCAGGGTGCCAGTCTGACTGGGCAAGGGCCCTCTTCCCGGTCACAGACCTCTCGCTGCATCCCCACATGGCAGAAGGGGGCTAGGGGTCTTTTAGAAGAACACTAATCTCATTCATCAGGGCTCCACCCTCACGATCTAAGCACCTCCCAAAGGCCCCACCTTCACACCACCACACCGGGCCTTAGGATTCCAACATGTGAATTTGGGGGGGACACAAACATCCACAGTACTGCGTACAGTCCCTTTCTTTAAAAAGAGCCTTAAGAAGCAGCCTGACATGTAAACCAACCAGAAGCCAAGTCAGTCTAGTGAAAAGCACAGTAGAGAGAAGTGTGTGTCCAGGGCATTTCCACTCAACTTCTAGGGTCTGCACACTAGACTCCGAAAACCCCTGGTCTCACCTGAGCCCCTATTTCACAAATGAGGAAACCAAGGGCAGGTAGCACTCAGCTCCTGGGTCTTCACTGACAAGCCCAGTACCCGAGCCAAGGTGTGACTTCTGGAGAGGGAGCCTGAGAAAGCAAAGGGCTGGGCTGGCACTCAGACCAAGTGAGGCCCTGGGAACCTGCCCTTCTCTGCTGACAGAGCAGGGCTAGCGGTTGGGCCCAAATTAGTAACTAGTGGAAAAGGTGCTGGTGACGGAGGTTTCCTATTCATAGTCCTGTTGTCTAAAAATATCAGTGAGAAACACCCTGGTCAGGGACGACCAACACCCAGATGGTACCTGGCATTACTGGTGGCCAGAACTGGGTCAAGGAGAACACCTGGGCTTTGAAGTAAGAGACACCGTAAAGCCCTACTGGGTCATTTACAAGGTCACCAAACAATTCTCAAAACCTCAATCTGCTTGTCTTTCAGATGGGGATAAGATTCACCTACCCCTCGTGATCAAATGAAACAGACACGCAGGCTTCTTAAATGACAGCGGCCTTGTTTTCCTGGCCCAATCTCCCGAGAGCCCAACTCCACACCACCCCGAGAGCACAGCACTGCTGACAGGGACCAGACGTCTGGGCATGAGCTCCCCGAGAGCCGGACCATACCGTCCCACCCCCAAATCCTGCCACCTAAACAGCAAGACTGACACAAGTGGGCCTAGCTGAGCAGATTGCCTTTCTCACCTTCAAGGAAGGTGGCACTCTCCTGGATGTAGGCTCCCAGCTGCTCAAAAATGCCATTGATCTTCTTCTTGGCAGTGACAAAGTGCTTGAGTGGGGAAGCATTCACCTCAGCCATGTGTCTCTTATCCTTCTTGACCGTGACAATGGAGTTGCATCGAGAGAAGAGCAGGGACATTGCGCTGCAAGAGAAGATGACATAAGCCAACCCAGGAACGCCCAGCTCGGGATGTTCTGCTTGCTGCATTTGCAGGCTGCAGCCGGGGCATCTGGGACCAGGGTCCATCAAGAACATGGGCCCTCCAGGGCTAGATCAGGGACGATGAGACAGAACCAGTGTCTCCCAAGGAGGAGGGGACCACTGAGGGCATCCGGGTCTGTCTCCCTGCCACACGGTGTGGGCACAGACACGTGGAGCCAGCGCCTTGTGCTAGCTGTTCCTTTCCTGCTGAACAGTGACAGGCCCTGCCTTTCCCACTGGTGACACACAGAGAAGCTGTCCTCTTAGACATAGGCAAGAGTGCGACAAAATCTCATATTTCCTATACATTCTACAACATGTAGAAAAAGCACTGCATGTTGAAAGCAGTGAAAACAAAGTGATCTTCAAGATCAGTGACTCCCACCACCGTCCCCTGACCACTCTGCTGGTCAGGTCCCAATGGCCCTAATTCCTAACAGGTTTTGTTTTTTAAAATTTTGTTTTTGGTGACAGTGAGGGCGGTGGACAAGGAAGGGTGATCCTCAAATGAGAGACGTCTGCTTCTACAACTTACTTAAAAAACATTTATTGGTCTCTTACGTTACCAATGTACATCCTGTAGAAAATATGGAAACTAAAGGGCAAAATCCCTAACCGCGGCCATCTGTGACCAGCACTACCGTCCTTTTGCTGGGGTAGCTCTCTTGCTCTTGACCACATGTACATCTTTGTACCTAATTTTTTTCACATAGCAATAGTAAGTTAGGGGCTCTGAGGCTTCACTCCCAAGTTCTAGAGATCTTTGTTCAAAGTCAAAAGAGGCAAGTAAACCAAAGAAGGTAGTAGCCAAATGTGGCTGGGAATCGCCGGTTCCCAAAGTGGGCCACTCCTCAGAGTTCCCACCATGCACAGAGCTACTTCCCCGGCAGAGCCCTTAGATCCTGGGTCAAATGGAAAAGGCCCCTCTGAGGACAGCTGTGTGCGTCCAGTTCCACCCTCCCCAACACCCAGCAAATTCTTGCCGGCCACTCCCTCCCAGCTGCCCTGATCACAGCACCACCAGCTCCCCACCCAACCCAGCACTCGCTCAATCTGGAAATCGAGAAGCCAGTGCTCACGAGTTAACATATATGAGAACCTTCCCAAGGGCAGAGAAAACATTCAGAAAAAGTACATAATAACGGACAACTGGCTCTTAGGAACCAACTATCCCAGAGTGGGCAGAAAGACAGACAGACCCACAGGGAAATGGAAACGCACAGGTTTGGCCTAAACCTACACATTATTTTGTGATGTTGATGAGTTCTGGGCAGAGAGGAGAGAGGAGCGACTGTCTGTCCATCTCTACCTTCCTCCTCAGCAAAACACCACAACTTTGAGTATGAGTGTCTTAGTGTGGAGGCCACGTGTCAGGGGCTTAAACAAGATGGCAGGGCTCTAAGAAGGGGAACCTGGAAGAGAATACTACTGGCTCCTCTAAAGCAGAAAAGGAGCGTGCACTGAATCAGGGTTCCTAAGATCCAGCAGGTACGGCTCTCAGAGAAGGGATGCATGCAACCAGAGGAGGAAAGCCACTGAAAGAAAAGGGTCTGCGACGGGGCCCCATGGAGCGTCACAGGTGATGGATTCTGGAATCAGGGGCGGATTCAAATCGTGATTGTATTACTTCCAGGCTGTGCTCACTGGAGTGACTTCTTTAACCTTAGAGCCTTGGACTCCTCGCGTGTACAACAAGCATGACACGGACTGTGAGAAGACTCAGGGGGACACAGCACAAGCTCAAAGGGGGCTTTAGGTGTTAAGAAGCACAACAACGACAAACTCCACCAGCGAGACCAGGGCGGCCTTCTCCTCCAACACCCAGCCTGCAGGAAAGGGCGAGGCCACCCCAGAACACCCGCAGCTCCCTCACCATCGCCATGGGGATGGAGGTAACAGGTCCGCTCTGCAGGGAGGACTGGCAGTGCAGCCCCAGAAGTGACCTGCTTGCAGGCAGCAACTACACTGAAATCAGCTGGGCTTTTAGAAACAAGTGCTTTCAAGTTCTGGTCATTGTTTGCATGACAATGGTATGAAACCAAAAGCATTAGTGTTTGGTAAGTGCAAGATTCAAGGCACACACACTAGTAAAAGCTTTGCGGTTCAAGGTTACAAGTCTGCTTGGAGTTCAGCTGGTTGAGGAGCTGACCTGCCTCACAGTTCCCCAGCCTCCAGCTGCGTGCCCCAAACCTCTCGTGGAACCTACCACCAAACCCTCCAAACTGATTTCTCTCTGGCTGCAAATTCTCAAGCTGAGATTGCATGATTGTGTTGCCCATGCTGCTTTCAGTCTGGAATCCTCTCTCCTTTCTCACCCATTTTGCGCACTCCTGCTGTGCTTAAGACCCGACCACAGTACCATCCCCTCTGTGAAGCTGTACTGACATCTCCATGGAGGACATGCAACTGAATCAGACTTCCGGTTTTTTTACTCACACTGTCTGTCTAATCTATGAGCTTCTAGAAAGCCAGTCTCTGACACAAAGCAAATGACCTACTTCCACTTCTACTTTCCTCTTCCACTGCTGAGAAACATGGTTTCAGTTAGTGAATGCCCCTTGGGTGGAGTACTTTCTTATGCTTCCATCCCTGGAACACACAAATCTACTTTTTTCTTAAAAAGCAGCCTTTGGCTAAGCGTCTATTAATATTTGGAGCTCAGTGAAATCAAGAGAGTTGAACAAACCTTTCAGATTTCAGGATTTAATCCTTCCAAACAGCAACCTGGACACTTTATTTAATGTGCGTAATGAGACCAAAGTTACAAAATACACGCACATGAGCCAAAATAAGGCTCCCACTGTCTTGGGGCTTCGCCTGCTGGCTTCCCATCCTTTCAGAGTGGCGGGAAGCAGCTGGGTTCCTGTTCCTCCTCTGGAAAGCTCTGATAGTCCCCACTTCACTGCAGAGCTCACCGCAGGCCTGTGGGGCCAGTCCCCTAGGCAGAGCTGGGCCAGAGTCCAGCTCCTAAATCAGCTACGGATTAAGCGACCTGCTTCAAACTTGTGCCTACTGAGAAGTGTTCTTGAGGTCATGGTTTCAGATAGTTTTACAGCCAGCATTTCCCAAAGTGTGGTCCTTAGAAGTCCACGGCACCCAATGTTCCATGTCAAAAGGATTCCATAGTAAAATCAATTTGTAAAACACTATATGCTAGTCACCTCTACTGAAGCACATGAGCACAGCAAAGATGCTGGGAAGGAAGGCTTAAAGAAACGAGTTTAACTGTGTTTAATGCAGCATTTCATAAATGTATGTGATGAAACCCTTCTTCTATGCAAGGATTTTTTAAATCCTCGGGATCACACTTCGGAAAAAGGCTCATTCATTCTGATAGTCTCCCACTCCAACCCAAAAAATGCACCTAAGATCAGAACCAAATCCAATTTTAAAATTAAACTGCTATAGCACTCCAAGCTTTGCCTCGACCTAGGCCATCAGTTGTGGAGGATTAGGTGTCTTGAATATAGAGAGGGCAGTAGCAAACAGCACTGCAAGGTGTGTTTGGATCCCAAGCACAGTCCCAGAATCCACACCACCTCCTTACCCAGTTTTATGCACAGCAACTCCTAGCAGGGAAAATAAAATGGATCCACGGATCGTCTGCTGGCACAACTGGAACAGAGGAGAAGCTGAGAAATTGAAACAAAAGAGTATACAGGGTAAAGGGGGCAGAGTAGACTCTTGGAAGAGCTGTGAAAAGGAGCCAACGTCTGCTGGACAGAGAGGGAGAAGGAAGGGCCAGCACAGCAGAGAACAAACAAGGGAGAGAGAGCCTAATGCTTCAGGGAGCCCAGAGCTTCCAGCCAGTTTCTGAAATGTCAACCTTTAAAACAGTCTCTCTCAGCAATCAGTGAAATCCTCCATAAAGCAGAAAAGACATACAGTTTTTTTTCCCACATAGGTTGGAAAACTCTGGCTCTGTGCAAAGATGACCCCATCCAAGAGACCTGCCACTGGATGGCCAGCAGAGCACACACCCCTCTCCTCTCAGGCAAGATCCAAGTGCCAGATGTCACAGCCATCACTTACTTTTTGGATGGTAAGTGACCTTCAGAGGGTGGGCATCATGGACATGGCAGGAGTCAAAAAGATGAAAAGAATTTGAGTTCTCCTCTGTCCTGTCTCCGTTGAGGTTGGCTACTGATTACGCTGACTCCACGAATTCTGACTTAGTTGGAAAGAAAAAGGGACGTGTCAACACGCAGCAAAAACCTGGTATGCAAAACATGTCTAATCAGATTTAAAGCCAAACAAACTCATCCCTGAGGAAGCTTACTCATTGAGGTATTGGGGTGGGAGCGAGGAAATGCCCTGGGGGAAAAAAAACAACACAGAAGTGTGAAGCCAATCCTGGGTGTGCACGAACACGTGTTCAGCCACGTGCTGGTGGAAACAGAGGATCTGGTAAAAGGCGCATCCAGAGGGGGTGAGAGGAGGGGGAAACCAGGACAAGCACCAGGCTTGAGGGCTGTGGACTAAGGACTAGAGACGGGAAGACAGGGGGTGGGGGAGGATGAGGAAAAGAAGGGGTACTTACTGAAAGCCTATGTGACAGATGCTGTAAAATATCTTACTTAATTTTCAATTCTATGGGGAAAACAGAGGCTTGGAATACTTAAAATATTTCTAGACTGCTAGTTAAGAGAAGCCAAGCTGGGAACTGAGGTATCACAGGTATCACCTCCCTTTGACTCCAAAGTACACTTGCTTGCCACTTCCTGGAGCCGCCTTACTCCACCCTTGGTGGGGGTCGGAAGGGCAATAATCAGAGCGCAAAAGAGAGATGATAAGAGACATTAAAGAAAATGGGCAACGAAGGATTACAACAGAGAATACCTTCATGCATCTAAACAGCTAATTCTTTGGCATGTTGTGTGTGCTTTCTCGGTGTGTGCTGGGTGCTACAGCTAGAGATGGGTAAAAAAACAGCTCCTCTCCTCAAGCGGCTTACCGCCCGGTGAGAAGTCAAACAAGTAGATAGACAACTGCACAAGGCTGCAGGCAGTAAGTGCCCAAAGTGGGGGAGGGAAGGGCAGGGCTCTGTGGTCATGAATGTGCGTACCTATGTGCTGAGTAAATGCTGGCAAATATAGACTGGATAACAGACGGGGGAAGGGCAGGGGTGCAACGTGGCCCTGAAGGCTGAGAAGACGGGGCCGAGGAGGCCCCGGGGGACCCCACTCCCAGTCCGCAAGCCCGCGTCCCGCCCCCTCCTCTCAGGGCAGCGGAGGGCACGCGGCAAGCCGGAGTGTGTAAACGCCCGCCTGCCCGGATCCCGAGACTCAGGAGCCCCAGCGTCCCACCGGTCTAGGCCGGCCCGCTCAAGATTCGCAGGGCCAGGCCGGTCCCCACCACCGCGGTGCGCTCGCCCTCTCACCTTCACCTTCCGGGCCTCGCGGCGGCCATCATCCCTCCAACGTCACCAGAGAGCGCCACCCCAGGGAGAGGCGGGAGGAGCGAGGACGCGAGCGTCACCAGTCGCCGCCGGTTTGCCGCTGTGGCTCCAGAGAGCCGGTAGAGTCCGAGCTCAACCGGTCCGGCCCAGTACTTCTTATGGGTCAGGGGTCCGTCGATTCAACGCCTGGAGAGGCGTCTCGGCGCGGTGCTTAGCCGCCTAGGCGTCCCAAGCCTATGACGTGGACGAGGGACTCCTGCTGCATCATGGGAGCTGTAGTCCCACCGCAAAGCGTCAGGACCGGTGTGGGCGGGGCCTCGAGCTGTCTAGAGGCAAAGAAAACAAGGGTGTGGGTGAGAGGTTCTGCTTTCTCCTGTTGCCCCAGGGGCTGACCCCGAGGCCCCAGCCAGCTTTGAACCCAGGCTTGAGTTTTGTCAGGTTAGAGAAGCGCTCTCAAGAGGAAGACAAGAAGCTTGCGTGGGCCTGCCCTTCAATTGATTTATGAGGAAGAATAGCGAGTCTCTGAATGGATACCAAACATGCATCATTTTATTTAAGCTTCACAACAGTCCCAGAGGCCCAGCTGGAAGATTCCTGCAGCTCACCGGGCCTCCTGTACCAGGCCCTCGGACTCAGCAGTAAGCAGCAGGAAGATCCCAGATCTGCGTTCTCCATACCTTGGCCACCAGTCGCATGTGGCCCCGCCTGAGAGGTGGTGAGTGCGAACTGAGTCGTATGGCAAGCCTTAGAATGAGAAATGAATGTAAAGGATCTCAATATTTTTGTATTAATTATGAGTAGTGATTTTTTTTAACTGTTTAAAATGTGTCTACTAAAAAATCTAAAATTACATGTGTGGCCTGCTCTGATACTGTGGTTTATAATAAATACACATTTGGTCTTCATCCACTGTTCTTGTGAAATGGGTGTCTTTTGTTATTCCTAACAGGCCCCTTTCAACAACACCTGAGTTCATGGAATGAGGTGACTTTTGGCAAGTCCCTGAAGATGGGGGCTGGTTGCCAGAGGAACCAACACTATTATAAGAGGGTTGGAGTTTTCTGCCCCATCTCCTCAACCTCCTGGGAGGAGAGAGGGGCTGGAGATTAACTTGACCACTAATGGCCAATGCTTTAATCAATCATACTTAGTTAAGGAAGCCTCCATTAAAATCCCTGAATTTATGAGGCTCGGAGAGCTTCCAGGTTGGTGACCATACAGAGATGCCAGGAGGGTGCTGGGCCCAGGGAGGGCATGGAGGCTCCTTGCCCCTTCCTACATACCTCGCCCTATACATCTCTTCTATTGGGTCATTCCTAAATTGTATCATTTTTTTTTTTTGAGAGGGCATCTCTCATATTTATTGATCAAATGGTTAACAACAATAAAATTCTGTATAGGGGAGTCAATGCTCAATGCACCCTAAATTGTATTTTATACTAAACTAGTCATCTAGTAAGTAAACTGTTTTTTTCTGAATTCTGTGAGCCATTCTAGTAAATTGATCCAACATAAGGAGGGCGTCATGGGAGTTTCCAGTTTATAACTAGTCAGTCAAGCATAGGTAACAACCTGGACTGGTGATGGGTGTTTAAATGGGGGTGGGAGGAGTCTTGTGAGACTGAACCCTTAACCTGTGAGATCTGACGCTGTCTCCAGACAGAGCATGTTAGAATTGAAATAAATTTATGCAACACCCTTTCGGTGTGGGGAGAAACTGCACACATTTGGCAACTGGAAGTGGAGTATGTTGTGGAGTATAAACAATAGTTTTTCTCTGCAGTCGCATTTTTGGCTCACATATTTCTGCTGAACAGCACAACTCTATAACCATGGTAGAATCTCGCCACTAATACCTCAAGTTGGTACCTGTGGACCTATCGGTATCACTTTCCAGTGAGGCTGGTCAGAGGGAGCTGTCCAGCCCTAACTGCCAAGTGAACCAGTAACCTGTGTCCTGCGGGGCCACAGCCAGATGCCGGCTGTGGGGTGCAGCCAGGCCTCTGGGATGTGGCCCACACCAGGCCTGTTACGGGCCTTGCCATGCTGCTGTCTCCCCCTTCAAGCTCCCTGGCTTCCCTATAGGACTGTCAATTCTCTGAAGGTAGCAAGTGAATTCCATTTCCCTCGCCTCCTTTGGCAGAATCTTGCCCGAGTCAGAAGGCCTGGAGCATCTCTAAACATACCTGTTCTGTCCATTCCCTCCTGCAAGCATTGGCCTAGGTCCTGGTCACTTGCTGGGACTGGCCCACCATCCAACTCCCAGGGGTTCTCTTGAAAGCACAGTTTCAAGCCATTAAGCCCTGGAAAACAAGACTCCCCGAGTCTGGCTGACATTGTTACTGGGGACTGGGGAAGGTTGCAGGGCAGGGCTGGTGTGCAACTGTAGACCTTTTCTTTCTACATTACCCATGTCAATTTGAACGGACTCTTTCACAGTGGACAGGATTTACATTTGTAATCAGAAAAAAGTAAGTTAAAAACAGACATGCCAAAGTTGAAACCACAATGTTGCTCATGCGAAACCTTCAAAAGACTGTGTATCAATGATGCCTTAAAAAAAAAAACATGCTTATAATATGCAGACCAGCTCACAAAAGACACCCAAGAAACAGATTAGGCATGGTTGCTTCTGGGGAGAATGCAGGCAGGGGTGAGATGGGAAAAGGATTACATTTGTCCTGTTTGAATTTATCATGGGCCAATTTAACAAACAAAAAACTTAAAATTATCTCTAGAATGAATACACAAAACCCCTGAGTAACTCCAATTAACTAGGTACAGTGCAATTTTCCTTAGCCAGGGAAAATGGGCTTTTACAATCTGACCCTCCCCTACCCCACCCACACCAGATAACTTGCTTTTTTCCAACCCACCTGAGCCTTGCTGGCTCCAGTCGCCTGACCTGGAGTCGCCCTGCCTGTTGGAAACTTCCTCCGTGTCCAAGGCCCAGCTTCGAAGGCATCTGCCATCAGGCTTCTCAGTCTCCGCATGGGTGATCTTTTGGGTTGGGTAATTCTTTGGGGAAGGAGCTGTCCCGGGCGCTGCAGGCTGGGTAGGAGGCACCCCTTGCCTCTACTCACTAGTGCCAGTGGCATTCCATTCCCAGCTTTCTGGTTGTAACAACCAAAAATGACAAATTCAGACACTGCCAAGTATCAACTGGGGGGCCAAACGCATCCTTAGCTGAGAAGCATTGTGTTGCATACACTGCTGGGGCCTCCTGCTCCCCACAGCAGTTCTTACAGCCATTGAGGCACTTACCACACTGCTCCCCAGTGGATTGCATTTGGTTTTTTCTGTCCCTACTGCTGACTATAGGGTATGTCAGGGACAGGGACCAGATTTCTTCTGAAATCGAATTCAAATCCTTGTTCCCACCATTAACTTGTTGCGACCTTAAGTCAATTACCCAGCCTCTCCAAGCCTGCATTTCCTCACCTATAAAGAGGAAATATAGCCCCTACCCTAGAAGGCTGTGTGCTGAGTGCCTGACACGTGCAACGCCAAGCCCACAGCAAGGGATGGAGAGCTGTTAGCTCTTAGGAACAAAGGCCCCGAAGCGGTATCAGAGCTATAAGGGTCCGTCCAGGGTACAGCAAGGGCCACCAGCACTTCTCTGTTCTCTGATGTTCATGTTTGCAGGAATGGCGGCCAGCAAAGGCTTCAGAGCAGGAGAGACACTTGATGAAGACCTGAGGATGAAGACGCGTGCCCCAGGCCACCAGCCCAGCTCACATGCAAGGCTTTACAGAACACACAAGTGACGCTGAGATCACACGTGCCTGGATTTGGGAAATATGTCACCGTGTCTGCTGACACAGCATTTCTTGCTACACGTGGGCTCTTAAAACCTCTCCCTGCAGACACTGGCCTTGGCACGCACACACTCATCCATGCAAGCAGCTCCCACTCGGTGGTTTGAGACCTTTAATAGAAACTCTCCTGTCTCTGACGGCCTGTCCCTCTCTCCGCAGGTAATCAGGACAGGGGGATGCACTGCAGTGTGTGGACATCACTCCCCTTCCCACAAGCAAGGGTCAAGTAGAGGATAGATCTGAGGCACTGATGCTTTTCCTGTCTCCCAGGAGGTTTTCTGAGTCACCATCTCCAGGGCACAATGTTATTGGTCTCCTGACAGGAGCCATGGAGGAAGGGGCTTCAGCAGTCCTGGGGGCAGGGTAGAGACTTGAGTCTGATTCAGGTCTCTGTGTCCACCCTGAAACTTGAAGCAGAAGTCCCCGGGGCAGCAGCCCTGCCTGGAGACGCTCTGGAGCCCGGCTTCTCTCCCAGAGGCTCTCTGGGCAGTGGTGTAAGCCCTCATTCTGCCCAAGTCCCGTCCCAAGGAAGAAGCAGAGGAAGGGCGACTGGGTTCTTCAGGAAGACAGGCGGGAAAGGACGAGTTGCTACAAAACCGGGAAAGTGATCAGCACCTCCCAGGGCGGGGCCAGAGCACCCGGAGAGCCCCAGCCAAGGAGGTGCGCTCTGCCTCTGGCCTGCAGCCCAGTCCCTCTGTTGGTGGCTCCAAGGGCAATGGGAGGTCCAAAGCCTGGAGGCTGGCCCGGGTTCTCTGGGACCCTGAGGCCCCAGAGGCTGCTGGGCAGTGGTTGTTGGCAAAGAGAAAAGGTCCGAGGTGGGCAGGCCTGGCCAATTATGGATCAACGAAGGAGACAGCGATGTAACGGGTGCCCTTGGTGGTAGGGAGCCCCTCGTGGTAGTGCGTGAGTCGCCCAGGGTGCATGAGGGTCCAGCCTTTCCGTGGGGCTCGGACGGAGCAGTTGTAGCGCAGGAACCGACAGCCCCCGCCCTGGGAGACAGGAAGTGTCAGTTCCCCAACAAGAGGCTAGGCCCTTCCCCTGCCCTCATTCTTCCACCTGAGCCCCCCAGCCAGACGGCCCTCAGCATGGCCTGTCCAGGATGCCTGGTGGAGCGACAGCCATAAGCTGCCTAGGAAAGACAACTCAGCAAAGATGGAGTGATCAGAGCACCTGCCTTGAAGTCAGGCAGACCTGCACAAATGTCAGCTGCATCCTTTACTAGGAAAATTGGCATTCAACTGCACAGGGTTGTGAGAATTCTATGAGATGATGCAAATAAGAACTCAGGGCTGGGTTTCTCAACCTCAGCATTATGGACATTTGGGGCCTGAAAAATTTTTTTTAATTGTGGTAAAACACACATAAACTTTATCATCGTAACCATTTTTAAGTGTACAGTTCAGTGGTATTAAGTACAGTCATACTGTTGTACAGCCATCACCATCATGGGGCGGGCCAGGTAATTCTTTATTATAGGGGGCTATCCTGCACATCCCTGGCCTCTACCCACCACACGCGACTAGCAGCCCCATAGTTGTGACAACTGAAAATGCTTTCAGATATTGACAATGTCCCTTGGGAGGTGAGGGGAGGGGTGAGCAAAATCATCCCCTATGGGAACCCTTGATACATTGTAAACTCTCAAAAAAATGATAGATGTTTCTATGGGTGTCCTTTACAATGCTTAGCCCAGAACTGAGTCCCAAAAAACTCTTAGAAAATAGTAGCTTAAGGAATGAATGAGTGAATGAATGGCAGGCTCCCTAGCTGATCACACCTAGAGGCCTGCAGCCCCCAGAACTGCTCGTGCCCTACCCTCAAGTCTTCCTGCTTTCCTGAGATCACCCCTCCAGCCACAGGCCTGTGCCCCGCACTGGGACTAACCCTGCCCTGCCATTCTCAAAGCAGCCCTCTTACTTCCAAGAATGATGAGATTCCTAAACTCCTTATTACTAGCAGCTATTGTTCCTTGAGTACTTACTATGGGGCCAAGTGAGCAATTACTGAGAGATACCCAAGTAATTTTCACAGCAAGTCTACGGACAGCACTCTGTTAGTTTTCCCACTGAAGATATGAGGAAACCGAGAGACTAAGAAACGTGCCTGAGGCCACAGACGCGGAAAGGGGAGGCAGGACCCAGGTGCGGGTAGTCTGGCCCAAGATCTCCCATGCCCTTGATTTCTTGTGTCAAAATTCTTCTCCCTTCCACCAAATTGTGCTCTGAAACCCCCCTTTCAGGAAGCCTTCCCCATAGACCTGGCACCTTCCCCTCTGGTTCTCTGGCACTGGTGTCCCCTGGGCCCCTGTAAGTTGCTCACCAGCCAGCTCTCCCTCCTGCCCGCCCAGGCCGAGGTGAGCCCTGCTCACCTCATAATCCAGCCCGACCCGGTTCAGGGCGATGTTGATGGTGAAGGTGGAGGCATCGTGGTGGGGCATGAGCGAGGGCTGCTCGTCAGGCTTGTAGCGGACGACAAAGGCCAGGTCGAACTGGGCCTGTGTCAAGGAAGTGAGACGAGAGAAGCAGCACTACAGAGAGGCCACGAAGGGCCCCAGGTGGCAGGGCTGCACAGAAGGGCGCTCTCATCCAGCCTGCTGCCATGTCGGCCTACTGAGGACGGGCCTGTTTAATGCTGTTCTCCAGAGCCTGGCTCCAAAAGGTTTTCAATAAAAATGTGGAGAGGCAGAAGAGGTCAGGAGGTAGGGAAAGAAGAGAGGGATAAAGGGAAGAGGGGAGGGAGGGAGAGAGGCAAAGAGTAACAGGGTGGAAGGAATGAATCTGATCGTTACAACCCTTACTGGCAAGTACCTAGGCTGGTGATTCCTTGAGGGCAGAGCCCAGGCTCAGGCAAAGCAGGTGTCTGCAGAAAACCAGGTGAACAAGGAAGTGACGGAGCGAGGGAAGGAGCAGGTGAGCCGAGAGGTGGCCAACAGATACACCCGCGGCAGAGCTGAAGAGAAACTGAGGCAAGGACTGGAGATGCTGGCCAGCTAGCTGAGGCCCCCACCTGCAGGGCCACCACCTCCAGGATCCCTGCCTCCAGGATCCACCCCCTCCAGAGGCCTCTACCTCCAGGGGGCCCCAACTCTAGAGGGGCCTGCCTGGAGACCACATATTCAGGCTTCTCCCCCAAGGTGAGAACGCTTTTCTCCCCGCCCCCAGCCACTGCACCTCCCACCCTCATCCTGGCTGCACCCCAGGAACACCCACCCTGGTATAGTAGCCCGGGTAGAGCTTCTCCGTCATGGGGGCGATATACTCCACCAGGAACTTGTGCCACTCCCGCTCAAAGCTGATCTGGTTCATGTGGATGTCGATGGTTGGCACGTTTTCATAGCCACCCTGAATGCGGCTGTCCTGGAGGGGATGGAGGGCAGTGTGGTGAAGCCGAGTTCTAGGATGGCCCCCAGTTCCCGCCACCAGGTGAACAGGCCCTGTCTAATCCCCTCCCCTTGACGAGGTTAGGTTACAGGGCAAAGTGAAGGGGCTTTGCAGACTGAATCAAGGCAGCCAGTCTGCGGGCTCTGAGCCAATCAGAAGGGAGGCTATCCTGGGTGAGTCTTTAAAGGAGGATCTTGAAGAGACCGTCCCCTGTGGCCAGGAAGAAGCAAGTCACTACGAGGTCTGCAGCTGCCAGGAAATGAACTCCGGCCCATGGGCTGGGAATAGGACCCCGAGGCTCAGATGAGACCCCAACCCCAGCTGACACCTCGGATGTACTGTGAGACCCTGGCCAGAGGGCCCAGCTCAGCCCCGCCTGGACTCCCGACCCACAGAAATCCAGAGAGAGTAAGTGGGTTTCGTTTAATGTGGTTACGCTCTGCACTCATTTGTTACACGGCGTAGATGACCAGTGCACGCTAGCTCAGGCACTTGTGTCCCGGGGCCAGCTCAGTCACCAGGGAACAGCAGCTGGCCGGACCCCAGAACCGTGGGCTATGCCAGTACTGGGTTCTGGAGATTAGCTCAGCCACCACAGCATGTGGAGTGGGCAGGTAACCAGAACCACAAGTTAGTTCAGCTGCTAGGTCAAAGGGCAACCAGTCTCCGAGACACCCAGGCCCAGGGGCTCGTGTGGCTTTAAAAACAGTTCCCGAACTTTCCAGGATAAGCACAGGTATAGGATTCCTCTGTCAGGGAACGCACAACCTCTCACATGCGCCATGCCACTTGCTTCTGCTGTCTGGTGATCTTGGCACTGAAGTCACTTCCTGATTCTTCCTCATCCCACACTCGCTCATTCCTGCCCATCCCACACCTGGTCTCGGGAAGGATGCTAAACCAGTCCAACAACAAATCAGAATCTGGAGACCTAGCACCTTAAGATTAAGGCAGCTCACAGTCACCCAGTGGCAATGGCAGTTTGGGGACCAAACCTGCATCCCATTTCTCAATCCCTCTATTCTTAATGCCTGCAGGCACCCCTGCCAGTGCCCCCATCTAAGGAGTCCTAGAGAGGCTGGCTAGCTTGCCAGGAAAAGAGCCCAGAGGGTGGGCACGGGTGGAGGGATGGCTTCCCCACAGCCCCAGCTCAGGCGTCTGGGGCCCCACCTTGTTATCCCCCAGAGACCACTGGCCGTAGTGCTCCATCTCCTCCACCAGCTCGTCACAGGCCGTGTCCGTGAAGATGGGGAACCAGTAGACGTCCGGGCAAGGCTGGGGAAGGAAGGGACTCAGCCACAGGTGTCCAGAGTGGCACCACCACATCCTCCCCGCCTCCAAGGCCCTCTGCAGAACCCGACGCAGCCAAGACCCCTCACATGGCCCATGCCCTGCCCCACGCCCCCTTCTGTGAGCTCTCCAAGGGTCCCCACAAGCGTCTCCATGGAGCAGGGGCTCAGACAGCTGCTGAACGAGAAGGAAGCAGAGCTCAAGCTGGCCCTTCTCATCCAAGGCCACAGAGCTGCCAGCACCGGCCCAGGAAAGGGACCCTCAGATGGAGGGAGCAGAGGCCCGCAGGCTCCAGAAGCAGCAAAGAAGCACTTGCTTCTTACTCCTGGCTCACAGCCCACAGTCAAGGCCAGATTTAGGGACATTTTCCTCGTTCTTGCCAGGGCGCCTGAAGCCCCTACAGGCCCAGCTGGAAGTACCAACAGCATCCTGCTGCCCACTCTCGTACCCCAGGCACCACCAGGGCACAGAAAGGTGCCTCCCCTCCCTGTCCAGGCCAGCTGGTTTCGCCCCTCTGCCCTCCCAGCCCTGCGGCAGGTGTGGGATGTGAAGCCAGCAGCTTTGTTCCCAGGGGTGCCTGTCCTTACCGTCTCCACCAGCTTCCCTGCCAGAGCCTTGGTGTAGTTCTCATGGATATACTTCTCCTTCCAGTCCTGTGGGGAAGGGGAGTGGGCCAGGGTCCTCAGGCCTGGCTCAACTCTGTGGGGTGCTCGAAGAGGGGTTCCACCCCACAGACCCCCTGCAGGGTGAGGGACGTGTGCACGCCCAAGGGAGCTGGTATGCACCTATGCCCATTGGTTGCATGTGTGCTGTTTGGTGCACAAGTGTGCCTGCAGGAGCTGGTGTTTGCACATGTGTGTACCCAGGTGTGCATGTGTATACAGGTCTAGGTGCAGGGATGTGCATGTATCTATGTCAGCCACAGCTCAAAACATCTAGAAACACTGTCACAACTTTCTCTTCCTCTGACCATCACAGCGGCCTCAGAAGTGAGTCGGGCTGGGTAGTATACCCATTTTAGAGCTAAGGTAACGAAGGCCTCAAAGGTTGAGAGGCTCAGCTAAGTCATAGCCAGTGGGCTGCAAACCAGGCTTTTGACTCCTGGTCCCTCCTCCACTAGGTGGCGCTGCCTCTCAGTACACCCTCCTCTCCCCACCCAAATCCTGCTGGGGGGCAGCCCCCAGGGGTGGAGGGAGGCAGGTGGCCCACAGGGCCCCAGCCACTGTCTGTCTCTGAGAGGGAGGTACCTCAGTCACAGGTTCACTAGGGTCCCTCGCCCTCACCCCTGTCCGCCCACTCTGGGCCTTACCTCCGGGTTGCTGAACACCTCCCAGAGGTCGTTGTGGAGGTGGGTGGTCTGGTAGCTGTCCAGGGAGAGCAGGTGGCCAAAGGCGTTCCGGTTGGTCAGGAACATGAACACGTCCTGGGGAGAGCAGGCCAGATAGAAGAGACCCTCCCGGCCTAAGATCCTGGGAGAGGCGTGACTACAGCCCCCTCTGTCCACCGGGCAGCAGTTCACACGATTAGGGAACTGAATGTGGGCCACCCCACCTCCCCAGTGGCCAGCCCAAACCGGACACTGGGAATGCGATCAGGAAAGGCTTCCCGGAGGACTGAACAGGAAGGAAAGAACGAACGTGTAAAAGAAAAGGATGGTGTCCAATCCTGAAGTTTTGGGTACAGACGAAAACATCACACTGTCACATATTAAATAAATAACTACAAGTAAACATCAGGTGGCGCATGGGGATAGGGTAAGGATGTCTTCTGGGCACAGTACTCAGAGTACATTTAGATGGAAAATTTAGTTTTCTTTAGCCTCTGTCACAAACATAAATAAAATAGATGGTGTGAAAAGTGGGTCTGTTAAAATGATCCCCACAGACCCGGAGGACCAGCCCTCATGCCCAGTGCCCTGGGTGCCCATCCAGGCCCTGGCAGCATTTGGGCAGCCCTGCTGGAAACCCAGAAGCTCCAGGGCCTATGGTGACAAGGGACAGCCCACCTCCCCCATCCCAGGGGTCTCGTCCCGGCCAGGCTGACCTGCAGCCGGATATTGGCACAGAAGGCCATGTCAGGGTCCAGCTTTCGGTGGTGGAACAGGTCTGTCTGCTGCAGCTCAGCCCGCAGGGCACTGCCCTTGATCAGGTAGATGTTCGAGATGTAGGGCACATTCCAGACCCCACTAAGGGAGAGAAAGGAAGATGGAGGGGCCAAAGACCGGCGGTGGGGGTCACAGGCTGGGAACCAGGGCCGGGGGAGAGGGAAGTCACAGCTGGGAGGGCAGGACAGTACTGGTTTGATTCCCCTGGGCCCAGGGTAACTGTCAGGAAGTCCTCTGTGTTTCTGACTGCAGAGCTCCCTGACTTGGGCTCAGCAAGAATGTGGACAACAGGACAGGAAGCCGAGAGAGGGGGGTGCAGCAAGGGCAGGAAGCAGACAGGTGAGGGTGCCCCAAGCCCGCCCCGCAGGTACTCACACACGCCGCCCCTGCACTATGTCCACGTAGTCCTCCGAGCGTGCGTAGTAGCCATCAGCACTCAGTGCCCCCCAGAAGTTTGACCACAGCCTCCCATGGCGGGTCATCAACGGGGCGATGACGTTCCTGAGGAAGGGAGCACCTCAGTGGGAGCCCCTCTGCCCCCAGACTCTGGGGCAGATCTAACTGGGTATGGGGCAGGGACGGGCAGCCTGTTGACCTGCAAGCACCTCCCTGGGTCAAGGCGTGTAGGAGGGTTTGGCTCTCTGGTACCTGCTCCTCCCACAGGGCAGCCAGGAGCAGAGGGTGGGAGGGGGACGGCTTGTGGCTTGTGGCAGGGAGATGGGGAACATCCTACACCAAGACAAGGTTTGCAGAAGGGGCAGGCCCAGGGTAACAGATGAGGTCAAGGCGGCAGAGGAGGGGAAGGCAAGGGAGGTGCTCCCACCCTGCACGCAGGCCTATTATGAGCCATGCTGAGCCTGGAGCCCTGACTCTGAGCCTCACTTATTCTGCTCTATCAGCACTCGAAGGGTTTGGGGCTCCGTCAAGGCCACATCAGCATCCACGCTGAAGTAGTAGGTGCAGCCACGGTCCTGCCGGCACAAGTCCCTGCAGGGAGGGGGTCACAAGGTCAGGGAGCTGGGACTGTGGCACCAGCCTCCCCACCCAGGATCCCAGAGCTCCAGGCAGCTGTACTCCCCAGCCTGCCCCCTGATCCCCAGGTACCAGCCAAGGCTCTGTACAGGTCAGACCAGCCCTGGTGCAGCTTGGACCAGGAGCCTCAAATGTCCCTCCGGACTCTGAGACCCAAATCCTGGGCTGCTAAACTCTCAAGATGAAGGCCCAGAGCTTTACTGCCTGGGCCTAAGAGCAAAGTGGCTCTGCCTTTCTGGAAGGTGATTTGGTAACCTGTACCAAAGCCTTAACAACTGATGTCCTTTCTATTTATCTGGTCCAGGGCTCAGTCCACAGTCCAAATCCAGCTTTCTGCCTGGTTTCATATAGCTCATGAGCTAAGAGTGGTTTTACATTTTTAAATGGTTGGGGGAAACAAATCAAAAGAAGTCATGTGAAAATAATGAAATTCAAATTTCAATGTCCATAAATAAAACTTTGCTGGAGCACAGCCATACTCGTTTGGGCTACAGCAGCAGAGCTGTGGCTGCGGCAGGGCCCACAAAGCTGATTTCCACAGATCTATTATCTGGTCCTTTATAGGAAGCTTGCCAGTCTTGGATCCAGACTGATTCTTCTATAGGCAATACAAATTATTTGTTTTAAAGATAAAGGAAAAAAAATCAATAATTGCATCTCTAATTGTCAGCATTGATCTGCTCTGGCCCTCCAGTCCTTCTTCTTCCTCTGATTTGCTTCCGGGACCCAAATGACACCGCTCAGCCCTGCCCAGAGTCCCTAGGTTGGCAGGACTATTTCCCCATTCGACAGACGGGCTGAGGCCGCGAGAATGGCAGGCATCTGTTTAGAGACCACATGGCCTTCTCAAGTCTTGTCTCTTGGCCTGATGCTCCTGATGCCACGGCCCCTCTGCTCACAACTCTCAGCACAGACAACAATGGAGGCCTGGCCCCCAACTCACGCGCCCATGTTCCTGGCGTCAGCGTTCGACATCCGCACCTCGGGGCCCACCAGCTTCACGGACTGATACTTGCCACCATGCTCTGCCAGGAACCGCTCCACCTGGGCCTTATGATGTTGCTCCTGAGAGGTGGGGTGGGGGGTCGGGGTGAGAAGGGGAAGAAAAGGACACAGGGTCTACCCCTAGGGACCACAGTGCCTTCTGCTACCGCAGGCTGCTCCTCCTCATTCCCGGTGCATCCCTGGCCATCTGCTTTCCCATCTCCAGTCCTTCTGCCTGGAGTGTCCTCCCCTGGCCATCCTCTGACCATCCTCCCTGACCAGGCCCACAGGCCTCCGTCACCAGGACAGTATCCCCCCACCCTGCAGGCCCCACATCCACAGTCACTGATTCTGCTGATCAGGAGTGTGGCCCAGGGATCTGCTTTGTTACAAAACACTCCAGGTGATCCTTGGACCGTGCTTTGAAAGACATCAGTCTACCCAGGGCTCCCCGCATGCACAAGAGCAGGTCTTTAGAATCAGACCCAAGGTTTAGAGTGAAGCTGGGCTCTGCTTCGATTAGCTGCATGCCCTTGAACAAGCCACCTCACCCATCTCAGCTTGTTTACCTCCCTTGTAAAATGGGAGGGCAATCATGACCCCGACAAGTCAGGCAGAGCACACGGCAGGTCCTCAAAGACTTCCCGGGACAGTCCTTTTCCTATAAAGTCACAGTTCTTGGGTGTGCTATTTGCTGTCTGCAGGGAGGCTGGGAGCCTCCCAAGTGCGGGCTGACATCTTTCTGGTTCCATGAGGCCTGTGAGCCAGGCAAGAGTTGAGCCGAGCAGGGGACCACAGGCCCCGGGGAACGGGGTGCAGACTGTCAGGGCTGAGAGGTCCAAGAAAGGGGTGACGCTACATGGGGCAGCGGAGAGGACTCTCAGGAAGACAAGGGCCTTGAGAACAGCAGGATTTGGAAGGCGCAGCTGGCATCCCCGCTAGGGAAATCGGGATAAGCAACGGCAAGAGGGGGGACTTTATCCAACCAGGAAGGAGGGGCAGGAAAGGAGAGAGGGCTGGGAATCCTGAACCCGGGCCTGCTCCCGACAAAGCAGCTGGCCTCAGGGTCCTCCCTGATTCTCCAGAAGATACTGAGACCAATCTGACTGTCCCCAGATCAAACCCGGAGGGACTGACTGAGGCAGGGGAAGGATGACCATGACAAGAGCTAGGAGCACCTCTTAGGTGCCTCCTGAGTGTCAGGCACATCTGTGTGCTTCACACCTCAGCTTGTTCACACTCGCAGCAATTCCACGTGGTCAGCTCTATCACACCCCCATTTAATAGATGAGAAAACTGAAGCACAGAGAGGTTGAGTGACATGCTCAAGTTCACACAGCCAATACAAGCAGTGGCACTAAGATTCAAACCCAGCCAGTCTGACTCCAGAGTCAACCCAGTGGTGGAGGGATACAGCCCACTGCCCACTTCGACCAGGTCCAGATAATGCTGGTCCAGTCGGTTCCCCAGAGGCCTCAGTCACCTCATGAGACTGGGCCCTTAATCCAAGTGCCTGCTACTCACGTGGTTGTGAATGAAAAGTCGCATCCGTTTCTGGGGGTAGTGGAGGCGCAGAAGCCGCTGGAAGAACAGGGTCAGGAAAGGCGTGGGCTGCTCTAGGAACACACCGACCAGGACTGTGGGCAGAGCTTCATCCTGTATGGGGAGGGGTGGCACAAGAGTCTGGCAATGTCTAGCCACAGTGCCACTGCTGAGCCCTAGGGTGCCTGAGGGACCCGGTGCCAGAGACAGAGGCATTTGGACTTAGCAGGAACGGGTCCCAGGCCAGGGAGCTCCAAGCAGGTTGTGCAGTGGGCAGAGGCAGGACTGGTGGGTCAGCCACAGGTGGGGGTCCCTGCTGGGGATGGGGAGCAGTGTGGAACCAGACTTGGAGCAAGGACAGGCTGATGGCATGCTGTTGGGACAGCATGGCTGAGACAGGGTTTAAAACGAGCCACGGGTAAGGAGTAAGGTTGGTGTGGTGGGAAGGGGGCTGCAGGACAGGCTGAAGCAACTGGAGTTTCGGCATCTGGGGGAAGCTGGAGCCGCATGTAGTCTGAGGAGGCTTCCAAGAAGAGGTGCCTGGGTAAGGAGGATGGAACCCCAGAAAGGGAGTGACCCCTTCACTGCCCACCCAAGACAACAGAGTCCCTTCCAGGAACCACCTGTCCTCCCCATCCCAAGGGACCAAGCCCCATGTCCAGCAGCCTTACCCCGATGCCCTTCAGGCTGCGCAGGCCCTCGTCACACACGGCGCAGCCAGTCTCAAAGGTCCAGAACCGCGGGATGTAGTTGCCCAGGTAGTTCAGCTGCAGCTGTCAGAAGTGGCGTCTGAGAGGATCCGGGCCAGCCTCACCCACCCATAACCACCAAGTCACATCTCCCTGGGCCCAGCCCTCTACCACCCCTAAGAGCGCAGGAACATGACTGTGTCTAGGGTGGGTCTCAGAGAGCATGTTCCATCCCCCTGGAGATCACCGAAGCTGCTCTGAGGGATCCACACTCTCCCACATCCTCCTCTCCAGCTCTCCCAGGAGCTTGGGAAATGCAGGTTGCTGGGCCCCACCTCCCCAGCGATTCCAATAGAGCAGCTCTCAGGTGGGGTCAGGGATTCTACGTTCTTAACCTGCCCCCCTTTCTCTCCTGTCCACATGGTTCCGACATGGGTGGCCGAGGACCACATTCAGTGAAATGTGCTGTGAGCCTGGGGCAGTTCCCTAGGAGGCAGTTAAGTCTGGTCTGCACCCTGGCCCCCTCACAGCTGCAGGAGCACAGGGACCACTGGGTTTTGTCCATTACTGACTCTGCCTTGTGCCCAAGTGCAAACATTCAGTAAATGTTTGGTGAATGAAGAAGCAAGGGTGCCCTGAGGTAAAGGGGTACATCTGACTCGGGGTAGCCCACCTTAGGCTTAGATGGGACAGTGGCCTCCTTTGTGATCTGTGGCCCAGCAGTAATGGACGGGGCATCACTGACCACCACAGGAAGGTAACAAGGTGTCACGGTGAACTCGGATGTGACAACGGAAGCAGTGAGCTCCCAGTGGGGCCCAGGTGGCTCTGACCCAGAGGAGAAGCTGTGGGCCCCCTCCCACTCTCCCCAGGGCCCGGGGCCCCTCCGTACCTTAGTGGGCCCGTTGCCATGAATGAGGACTGGGAGGGTGTCGTAGGCTAGGTTCCTTGCTCTCACGTGGCCCATTTCAAACTTGAGCACGACCTCATCTGGGGGTCAGAAAGCACAGCCCTGTCCAGCACCAGGCCCAGAGGCCAAGCTCTGGGGCTGCAATGCTGGTGTCAAATCCTAGCTCTCCCTCAGTGAGCGGCATGTGGCCCTGGGCTAATCACATCACCTCTATGAGCCTCAGTTTCCTCACCTGTAAAACAGGGCTAAGAGCAAGAGGGTCCTGTGTCCCATCAGCACTTAGCACCACGCCGGCACATGGTGAGCACGGAATCCACAGAAACCCCTGTTATTTATTGTGATTACTTATTAGAGCCAGAAGCAGGGGAGGGGAGAAAGCAAAGACTTGAAACATCCCGGCCACAGACAGAGCTCAGAGAAGCCCTAGGGACAGAGTCTGGGAGGCATCTGCTGTGAAAGGCACATGGTGCAGCACCAACAAGATGGCAGCCAAAGAGGAAGGCCTGGGCGGGGCAGGGGACAGATCCTGTCCTGGTGGAGAGAGGCCCACGGCACGGTCCTAATCCTGTTACACAGAAGACAACAGGAGGAAGCTGACTAGTCAGTTGTAAGATGCACAGAGGCCTTTCTCTGAAGCCTGAGAAGATGCTGGGGAGGGAGGCCACCTGGGGAGGGGGGTGATCTGGACCCAGCTTCTTAACCTAGCTTCATGAATTCCCAAAAGCCACAGGCAGAAGGGTGCAACGTGGGAGGGAGCCACAGCGTTCATCAGAGTCTCAAAGAGGCCCATTCACCCCACTAAATTGCCAATCAGTGATCTGGCCCAATCTCTCTTTTCTAAAGATGGGAGAACTGAGACCTGAGGGGTGTGCGTGTGTGTCTGTGTGTGTCTGTGTGTGTGTGAGACTTGCCTAAGGTCACCCAGCAAGATAGTGGCAAAGCAATGTCATCACCAGCCACACACTTGGGGCCAGTCCAAGGGTATTTGTGGTTTCAAGAACCAAGTATCCTCTCTGCTTCCGAATCTTCCATGAACTCCCTGCCAGCTCATTCCCCGTCCCCAGGCCAGGAAGCCGTCACCTGGGAGGTGGGAGGACAGAGGAGGGAGGTAAAGCAGGCTCACCTGCAAGGACCAGGGAGGACGCAGGGGTGGGCTACCTGTTGTGCATCACCAGCTCCTCCCAGGCTGAGTGGCTGCCTGCTCGCTCTGGCGTCTGGCAGGCTCTGCAGACTCAGCCCTTGGCCCTCCTTTCTCCACCCCCGGGGAGACACGGCTCTGCCCCAGGACATCCACGTGGCCTCTGGGGACCTGGAGATGGGGCAGGCCACCTCCCAGCACAATGGTCAGAGAGAAACCAGCCTGTCTTCCTCCTTGGGCTCAGACCCTGCCTAGATCCTCAGCTCCTTCTTATCATCCCTCTCAGGACCCCCCTCACCGTGGGGGCTGCTCACCCAGTGCTCCATCCAGGTTCTGGAAGATACGGCAGCGGTGGTCCAGGGTAACATTGATCTGCTCCTTCAGGAAAGAGGGCACCAGTTTGCAGCAGGGCCAGGCCCTGGCAGGGGACAGGGCTCCATCAAGCCCAGTGTGGGGGGGACCTGCCCGTCCATCTCAGCCACTTCCTCTTCCCACACCCGCTTTGCCTCATCACATCAGGGCAGCTGGGAGCCCTGGGAAGGCCAATCAGAGGCCGAATCCCTGGGATCTACTGGTCCAGTGGCTCTATTCACAGAGAACCAGAGACTCTCAGAACTGGAAGGAATCTAAGGAAACAGCTGGTTCAACTAAAACAACAACCATAATAACACTTGTTTAGCAATTTCCTATTACCTAATCAGTAGTCTAAGTGTTAAATTAGTTTAATCTGCACAACATCATTGTGAGAAAGTCACTGCATTTTACATTTTAAAAACAGGGCACAGAGAGGTTGGGTAACCTGCCAAAGGTCACACAGCTAGTAATTGGCTAAGCTGGCATTTGAACCCAGGCAACCTGGCCCTGAGGTCCCTGTTCACTGCACAATGCTGCCCTTTAAGATCTGACTGTGTCTCATGGAGCCCTAGGCCAGGCCAAGGAACCACAAGTGGCACTCTACGCTTGGACCTCATCCCTTAGAGAGTAGCTCCACTTCTATGTCTTGGACCCTAGGCTTCTACAAGTAATGTCATTGGAAGCAAAGGGGGAGGAGGAGGAAGGACGGAGTTAACAAAAAGATCAAGTTCATAGTTTCCTTTGTACAAGTCCAAATGCTTCATTATTTCACGGATGATAAAGATCAAGGCCCAGAGAGAGGAACCGACTTATCCTAGGTAACAGAGCTCAGCATGGATAGGGGATTAGGGAGGTAAGCAGGGCAGAATCTAGGAATCCTAACCTCAAAGGGCTCCCTGAGTTTCCTGCCTCTCCAGAGGACACTAGCTGGGTCTGGAGCTACCCCAGCCCACTTCTGCCATCTCCACTCCCCTAGTGGGACAGGCTCAGAGACCTGGCTTCTGGGGCCCAGGTTCAGCCAAGATCCCATCAGCCCCTCGGGGGCTCCCCAGGCAGGGTGGGGTAGGGGCAGCTCTGCCTGTGGGTTCCTTTCAGCACCATCTGACATGAGGTTGTAAACGCCTGTCTCCTCCCAAGCTCGAGGGTCCATGAGGGCAGAGACCCCTCCTGCCTTATTTGTTGCCATGTCCTTGCCCTGCACCTGACATTGTCTTACACATGACAGGCATTTAATAAACCTCTGCTGAGTAAATGAGTGAATCAAGGAATGGATAAATGAGGGTGTCAGTGCCCAACCCAGGCATCAGGCCTCAGGGGAGCTGCTCACAGTGCAGCCTGGTCCCTGGGATCCAGTATCAGGTCCCCCAGCCCCGCCCCAACTCCTCAGCCCCACCCACTGCCTCTTACCCTCTTCTCTGGGTCCAAGAAAATCTTGGTATAAAATAGCTGGTCACTGTCGCTGTCCTGGCCCTCCCACTCAGCCACCAGTTTGTGGAGGTTGGGGGCATAACCGATGAAGCCTGGGGGTTGTGGCAGGGGACACACAGACAGATGCTTAGCTTCCAGCCTCTATGTCAGGGTTCTCTTCTCAGCCTCCCCTCTCAGCCACCTCTCAGACCTTTACCCATAAGCCCTGACTGCCTCCTCTCAGAAGTCCTCCTGGATTGCGGGATGCTGTCTATAGGCTGGAAACAGCCTGCAAGTTAATGCCACGTGGCCACAAATTCCCACTGAGCCCAGAAAAAAATATCAAAGATGCTCACTAAACTGCACCAGCTCAGGTGCTGGGTACCACATAGGTAGTAAATGAATGGATTAGACAAGGAGCCCCTCAAGAGCAGAGCTGGTGGGGCATAGGATTGGAGCCTCTTTTCTACAGTTATCCGGTAAACTTGATCCACAGAGGGGCAGAGGCTGGGCCAAGGTCACAAAGCACTTGGGGACTTACAGAGAAAAGTGCACACTACCATGCAAATCAGTGATAGGCGAAAAGGCGAAGGTGGGCAGCCAGGGAGGGCCCCAGCCCAGGGAATACCTCCACCCCTGGGCCAGGGCCAGGCCATCTGGACTGTGCTAATTCCAGGCCAATGGGAAAAAGTGGCCGCCAGGGGTGGATCCCCCTCTGGCAAGAGGACTGTGCACTGGAAGCCACTGAGTGCTGTGTGTGGGTCTGAATCTGGATGCTGGGTGGAGAATAGCCAGGAAGGGTTTGAGGGTGGGGGCTGGCGGAGCAGTTCTAAGTCTAATGCAAATGGCCAGGAGCCAGTGAGGCGGTGGGCGTGGGCGTGGATGTGAGCTGGCAGATTTCACGGATCTTGCAAACTTGCCCACAGACTTAGGTCGGGGAGGGGGAGGGAGGAAGGAGGTGGGGGTGACGCACAGGTTTTGTCCTGTGCGGATGGGTGAGGAAGACTAGAGGGAAGCAAGTTCCAGGCTTAAAAAATCAGGTATTCTACTCAGGACATGCCGAATTTGGGGCCCGTGAGACGTCCACGCGGGATGCCAGGCAAGGGGAGGCCTCAGGAAGGCAGCGGAGGGGCCCCCCTGGAGCCCAGCCCTCCCACGGAGGCTCCTCACCACCGGAGCCCAGGAACCTCTTGCCGTTGGACACCGCGGGGTACTTGGCCTCCAGCCTGCGGTCGGGGTAGATGAGCTCCTCTGCCGAGAAGATCACCCGGCTCCTGGACTGCCGGAACTTTTTCAGGAGCTCTCGGGGCCCCGATGCAAACAACACATCGTAGCTGTAGCCGCAGCGGGGAGAAGACGGCGCGGGGCGGAGGTGAGGAGGAAGGGAAGCCGTCCGCAAACCCCCCTCCTCCACCCCACGCCGGCTCTGGCCACATCTGGGAAATGCATCTGCCGCGTTGTCTCTGGCCCAGACCCGTTTTCCAGCCCCAACCTGGGCAGAGAGATGGTCTCTCTAAGCCGGGCTCTTCTCACTCAAAGCACAGCTCACCGCGGCTGGACAGGTCCCTCCTCCTATCTTTTCAGCAAGGGTGGGAGCGGGCCAACCAGAGGGTCTTTTCTGGGGTTCATAGACCCCCTAAAACTGTAGGCAACCTTGGCTAGTGTGATCCACCCTTATCCTTGCTGTCCTGGGAGGGCCTCACTGTAGAATATTCTTCTATCTCTCCACCGGGGGGACCCGCCCAGGAAGCCCCGGCTACTCACCTGTCTGTGAATAGAATGACCAGGTTCTCCTTGTCTGCATGCTTCTCCAGAGCTTTCTTCAGCAGCCGGACCTTCAGCCCTCCACCTGCAGACGTCTCCTTCTTCCCATTCCAATCCTCCCCCAGGCCCAATGCCTGCAGAGAAAGGCCCCTAAATGTGGGCTTTTGGTAAAGAACTATCTAGCCAGTCATATTTCTATCCTCACCCAGGGAGTGACCATCTTTGCTTCTGTCTGTCCGGCACCACCTCCCCTCCCCTGTGGGGAAACCATTCTACAACCGTGCAAGGTCGGCTGGGTTCCCGGGCAGTCACGTGGCCGTACCTGGCCAATTAGAGTGCCCCATTCTTCCCACAGCCATGGGTTTGTACATGTGACCCAAGCATAGCCTATCAGAATCTTCCCTGGGACCGTTCCATCAAAACTATGGAAAGTTTAGTTATTTCAGGTTGAGAAGCTATAGCAGGGGCAGTGGCGACCTTGCCACCATATAAAAAGAGTATGTCTGCAAATGAAAACAAACAAGGGCTAGAGATAGAAAGCCAAAACCATCACCATGCTGCTTGAACCCCTAGATCAAGCTATGCCTGAAGCAACCCTCTGCTTCAACCCTCATTCACGTGAGCCAATACATTCTTTCAGACTTAATGCTGCTAGATTGCAGCTGTGTAGGCAGGGCCATGGTCTGTTTTGCCCACCATTCTGTCTTCAGGACCTACCGCTGTGCCCGACACAAGGAAGTGCACAGGAAGAAGGAATGTGTCCCTGCAGGGCTCAGCCCCATGGACTACACACAGAGGACACCAGGCCTATGCCATCGATGGGCTGGGCATTAGCCTGTGTTTCTTTAGAGCAGTGTTGATACAGGGAAGATCTCCAGACTATGGCCATCCCCAAATCACCAAGAGGGATTTATGGAAATGCTAATTCTCAAGACCTACCTGCTAAACCAGCCACGCACCCCCAGATGAGTTTTATGCACGTGAACGTGAGCACCGCAACATGCCTCTCCAGTCCCATTTGCCCCACCCTCTCCACCTCCAGCACCCCCTAGACTTCGCATATGTTCCTGCCCCTCTTGCTTTTCCTAGCTCATCTTCATCCTTCAGACTTCTAAAAGCCTCCCCTGTGGCCCCAAGTTGGTTTGGGAAAGGCAGACACACAGCTCTGGGTCTCTCCCGCCACCCTGCACAAGGACCCCTCACCTGGATCTTGTAGTTGAAGAACTGGGCTGAGCGCTTGAAGCGTCGGAACCCCTCGGTCTCTTTCGTGGCCACCGTGAGAACTAAAAGGTTTTCTAGGGACAGAGGAGAGCATTGTGAATGGAATGGAGGATGCAGAGGACCGGCAGGAGCAGGTCGTTGTTCCCAGAGGATGTGTCAAAACCTGGCAAGATGTGAATTCCCGTCAACCGATTAGAGACAAGGACCCAGGGCCAAGATAGGAAGGGATGCCCCTAAGATCACGCAGCTGGTTAGCAACATAGCTGGGACAACCTGGGTCTCCCTCCTCTCCTCCAGGGCCCTGCCACCTGGTAACTGACCAACATGTCAGGAAGCATCTGGAGCAGAGCTGTCAGCACCATGCACTGTGGGACTGGGTCTCTGGATTTAGGGGGCTCTGGCCTCACACGGGGCAGAAGGAAGGATTTCCTCTGAATGCTGAGCCCCAAGAGGACCTCTCTGGCCGATGTCGGGCAGTAGTCCAGGGACAGCCACAGTTCTCCATGTCTGCACCCAAGGCAGATAATGCTTATCAATCCCCACAGTCTTTCTTGCTGAGACTCACTCCGCCTTGGATTCTCGCGACAACATGAGAACCAATCAGAGTTGGCCGGGAGTGGAAACCCACATAAAACCCTCCCCCTTGGCCAGAGCAGCTGCACTACCTTTATAACCTGTACAGGGACCCTGTAGTGGGGCTTCACCTCTGCAATACAACCTGCTTCCAAGACACATCCCCAGACAGCATCCCTGGGAGCCCTGGGGAGGCCCAGCCCAGACCACCCTTTGAGGCTATGTTCTCTGAGCAGTGAAGGCTCTGTAGCTGGCCCGCCTGGTCAGAATCCTAGCTCAGTCCTTACCAGCTGTATGGATTTGGGCACGTCCCTGACCCTTCTGAGCTTCAGTTTCCTCTTTGCAAAACAGGGATAATAGTACATAATCCCCCCTTATCTGCAGGGTATTGTTCCAAGCCCCCCAGCAGATGCCTGAAATCATGGGTAGTACCGAACCCTTAGGTGTACTGGTTTTTTTTCCTTATGTACTTACAATAAAGTTTAATTTATAAATTAGACATGCTAAGAGATTGGCAACAATAATAATAAAATAGAACAGTCGACAGTGTAGTGGAATAACAGTGATGTGAGTGTGGTCTCTCTATCTCACAGTATCTTATCATAACACACCTTTCTTGTGATGTGAGATGATAAAATGCCTATGTGATGAGATGATGTGTAGGGAATGACATGGACATAGTGACACAGCAAGAGGCTACCGACCTTCTGACGATGCATCAGAGGAGGATCATCTGCTTCCAGGCAGGGGTTAAGGTGGGTCATGGAAACCACAGAGAGTGAAACTTCCGATAAGGGGGCACTGCTGTACTAGGGGGCTGCCGGACTAGTTAAATGAAATCAGGTCTGTAAAATCTTTGTTGGGATGCTGACACAGGCTGAGAGCTTTTACTGCTGCTGATTAGTGAGATGTAAACACCTTGCTCTGGCATTCAAGGCCCTCTCTGATCAGCCCGGTGACATACTCATTCATCCTCCACCGAGTGGACCTTCCTCCAGCCAGGGGTCTCATGCTGCTGGGTTCCCCACTTCTGCCACAGCTCCCTCTCTCTCTTGCACTCCTTCCCCTAAAGAAGCCCCAGTCCACCTTCCTCTGGGTCCCAGGGCCAGTGATGGTGACACCCCTTCCCTGCCACCTCCTCTATGAAGCCTTCTCTCAGATTTCTCCTGACCCCTCTCCTGTCCTCAGAGGCAGGACTCCACTTGGCAGAGCTCATCATTGCTTTACTGGGGTCCAGGACTTCACAGTTTTCTGATGAACCCACCAAGTGGCCAGGCCAGCAGAGGTACATAAGGCCCCCCAAACCTCTGCCTCTACAGGAAGTCAGGAGGAACCTGGGCTAAAACAAACGGGGCCAGGTTGGCAGAGCTGGCTGAGAAGAGGGGCAGACTACTGGCCCAGAGCAGAGGGCTGGCACCAAGGTGGTGAGGGGAGGCCTCACCACCTGACCCTGAGGTCCAGGCAGGAGGGGTGCTGCTCACACTTGGGAAAGGGCTCCTCCAATCCACCCCAAGTGAAGAGAGCCAGAGGCACCAGCTCTGAGGCCTTCTCAGAGACAGGGGCTGTGGGGGACAGCAAGAGTGTCACATTTCATGGGTGGAAAAAGCCAGCATGTGTCTGTGAAAGATTCTGGATTCTCAGTTGGACCAGAGCCCTGAAGGCAGACAGTGGAGAGGCGCCAGGGAGGGGGCACTGTGTCTGGAGGCTCCTTTCCTGAGTTCCTGCTTCCAAATAACAGTAAAGATGGCTAACCTTTATTGACCCTTTAGTATGCCAGACTCGGTTCTAAGCATTTTATATGTACTGACTCCCCACTTTACAGTTAGAAACCCAAGGGCCAGAGATGATGAGTAACCTGCAGAGGGGAGCCAGGAAGTGACAGCCCCAGGATTCAGACATAGAAGCATAGACCCAGAGTCCCCTCTCTGAACCTTGGCATGCACTGCCCAGGCCTGGGACAGTGAGTGACCAGACCATCTGTCTCAAGAAACGGCCTAGTTGAGGCGGATGGGAGAGCCCCAGGCCACATTGGACCCTCCCCACCTGCCCAGCCTGTCTCTCTTCTCTGTTTTCCTGGTTGCTGCCAGGTACCCCAGTGGAGCCTTCACAAACCCTAGGTTTCTTGGACCAAGAACCCCGTGAAATAAACAGTCCAGAGGGTCCCACCCTGCCTGCATATCAACATCACAAGATAGACTGTGAAATACAGACCCCTAAGCCCCAGGACCAAGGGTCTGAGATGGGCCCGGAAGTCTAGATTTTTCCTACATTTCCTAGGTGATTTCTGATATCAGCCACATTTGGGAACCTCTGATACAACCCATCCCCCAGACCTGACTCTGGGCCACAGCTAGGGGCCTGGGAAATGGTTCACAGCAAGAGAACTCCAGGCAGGCCCCTCAAGGGACCCTAGCGTTATCTCTCACCACCTACAAAAACTGCCGCAGTGTGCCCAGCCTGCATCCCATTCCCTTGTCCTGCCTGCAAAATGCACTCCTTCCCCTAAAGAGACCCCAGTTCACCTCCTCTGGGAAGCCCTCCTTATCTTCATCCCCTTATCTGGTCAGTCATTGGCCTGTGCAGTCTCAGTGTGCCTCGGTGTGCCCAGCAGGGGATGTACCAGTAAAACCTTTGCCAGGCCAGGTCCACATCTTTATTTCTGGGGTCTGTTTCCCTCTCCCTCACCATGGCTGGGACTGAGGATGACTTAGGCCTGCTGTGCACTGGCCTTGGGGAGCAAAGTGGGAAGATGATGCCAGCAAGTACTACCACTGGTGGAGCCCTCACACTAGGTGCCATGTGCTGGAGGCAGCACATTACATTCATCATCACGTTTAACTATCCACGCCCTATGTGGCAGCTGATACTTCCAGCCCCCCTTCTACAGGTGCAGCAACTGAGACACAGAGAAGTCAAGTAACTGCCGGGGGTTACAGAACCCTGAAGTGAGAAGGGGATGAGCTGGAATTCCAGTGCTGGAGCCCTTGGACCTCTCCATTCCCCCGTCTGACATCCCACGAGGCTGGGACTCTCAACAGCAAACTGAAACCAGCATTTCCAGCACCTTTTCTCAGGTTTTCCCGATGGGGATTTTGGCTCCAATCACTCTGAGGTCTTTTCCCAACTCACTGGCAGGTCCAGCCAGAGCTCAGGCAACCGGTAGGTTATCAACGTGGAGGATTCTGGCGTTTGGATTCTAAGAATTCAGTTTCTGAGCACCAGGCCCCGCCCACCTGCTTTGGTCTGGTTCGGCCACAGGCTTTGACTGAGGCCAGTGCTGGCGTGAGGTCCGACACCCAGGGCTCTCAGGCCTCCTGACCTGCTGCCCAAAGTCCAGCAGTGGTTTCCCCAGACAGACAACCTGTGACTAAGGGTCAGCAGAGATAAATGAGAGACAGCAGAGTGGGGCGGCTGAGACAAGGTTGCTGAGCAAGTAACTTAACCTCTCTGTGCCTGTTTCCTCATCTGTAAAATGTGAGTAATAACAGCAATAACAGTACCTTCCTCCAGAGACGCTTGTGAGGATCAAAGGAGCTAATGCCCATAACGTGCTTAGCACAGTACCTGGCCTTAGTGGCCACACAGGCTTCTGTCCTAGGGAAGCGCCCAGAGGGAGAGAGCTGTGCGTGGATGAGTGCCGCCCTGGGGTCAGGGATGACAGCAGCGGCCTTCCTCAGAGCGAGAAGGACATGGCCAGGCTGAGGCAGAGGCTGGGAGAGTGCAGGCAGCTCTCTGGGGTCCTAGAGAAGGCTGAGAACCCAGGCCTGGTTCAGCTGGGCCCCTCCTCCAGCCCAGGAAGGGGAGTGGGTGGGTGGTCAGTGGCTCCCAAAGCTTTGGCCTGACATACCCAGTCTGCTCTCTGGGGAGGTGGGAGGGAATGAAGCTCCTCCCCTACCCTGCACGGATATGGGTCCAGCCCAGAACCCTAGGCTGTTCAAACCATGAGGAGGGTCCAGAAGAATGGCAGGAGATGGCTATTCCCAACCTCCCCTCCCACTCACTTGTGGCACCTTGTGTCCCCTCAGAACCCCCGTCTTGGCGCACACACACACGTCCAGCTGGGCCTGCTGGACTCCTGGGACAACTCCTTTCCCTGTTGTGGAACAGCAGGACCTGGAACCCCCACCCACGCCCAGCTGACATCCCCGGAGACTCAGAAGCCAGCAGCTGTCAGGCTCTGACTGTTTCTTCCCTCTCCGTGGCCAAACCAAGGCCTGTGGGGAAAGGCGCAAGCCTAGGGAGAAAGTGGGGATATGCAAGAAGCCTCTATGAAGAGAGGGAAGGACCACGGGGCATCTGGGCCGTTTCGCCTCCTCAGCTCTGTGGAAATTCGTTTGTCTGGGTGTTGCTTTGTTGAAGGCCTTTTCTGTCCCCCATACTCGTCTGGGGGCTCTCCAGGACAGGACAATGTCTCCTCCCTCAGACACAGGACCCTTGGGGAGCAAAGGGCTGTGTCTCCTCCCTGATCACTGGGGGTCGGGGCTATTATAGGGCTCCTAGCCAGTGAGTGGACCCAGGTTACAGGCCCTTTGCACACCCTGTCCTCAGCCAGCCCAGCCCTGTCCTCAGCACCTCCTTCACTGGATTTTTTTGACTTGCCTTACTGCCCTGCTGGGATACTCCAGGAGAGATACACCAGGAAAAATGCTCCCATGGGCCGGGCATTGAACCAAACCTTCACCAGCAGGCCTCATCCTGTGAGATCCTTTAAGAGCTCTAGGACTCAAGGTATCATCACCCCCATTTTGCAGGCTAGAACACCAAGCCTCATGGAAATTAAGCACCACTGGCTTTCCCACGAGAGATAAGTGGCCTTGGACACAACCTGGCACAAGGGAGGTACTCAGAAATGGTGGATCTCACCCCTTCCCTTGGCCCACGGGGCTGGCCGCACCACCACCCCGCCCCCTCTAGCTCCCAGCGGGCTGAGGGAAGGGGGTACTGTGGAAGGTCTGGCCGGGTTCACCTCTGCTTTGCTGGGATTGCCCACAGTCTGTGCTCCCCTCGGGGCTCTCAGATACTCAGTGGGCAGCCCTGGACCTGGCCTGGGGAGAGCTGGGAGAGGACAGTAGCCCCTGCTCAGGATACTGGGACACACTTTGAAATCCAATCTGACTTGGGGATGTAGAAGGAGCACTAGACCTGGAGCCCAACAGATCTCAGACCAACCACTCCAAGGCTGAACAACCCTGGGCAGTCACTGCCCTATCTGAGCCTCAGTTTCCTCATGTGCAAACTGGACAGAGTAAGACCCACGCAGCAGGGGCAGAGCAGACCACAGAGGACCCAGGCAGACATGCATCAGCTCTGCAATGTGAGCCACCCCTTCCCCCTCACCGCAGTGTTTGTAAGGCCTGGTGACTCAGAGCTGGGCTCTGGAACCACACACACTGGGGGTCCTCCTGGTTCCAAGCCTCACAAGCTGTGTGACACTGGGCAAGTTAATTAACACACACCGGAGGGCTGAGATCACGCTTCACTGATGCACGGCCCATAGTAAGTGCTCCACTAATGGTAGCCCTTGCCATTATTATTATGGGTGCTATTATTTTTTGACCCTCTTGGTAATCAGGGGCTCCGCTGTCCCTCCGCTCCCAGCTGCCACGGGTGTGGGAACCGCGGCCCTAAGTGAGGAAGTGATTTGCCTAAGTCATCAGCGAGTCTGTGGACAAGCAGCCGGAACCCAAACCCCCTCAGAAGCCCAGGCCTCGGGCACAGAGCGGTCCTGGGGGAGATCCCAGCAGCCCCTCCAGCCCCTTACCCGCCTCGGCGCCCCTGCCCTCCCGCCGCCGGCCGCGCGCCCTCACCCTCCGGCTTGGCGTCGCCCTTCGCTTCGGCCAGGAGCAGCCAGCCCAGCGGGGCCAGGAGCAGCAGGGGCCGCATGGCCGTGGCCTTGGGACGTCTGCCCAGCCCGGCGGCGAGAGCAGGCTGGAAACTTCGCGACGGGGCCGGCAGTCCGGCTGCCACGCACTGGGCCCGCCCCGGGGCGGTGTCGCGCCGCGCCCTCCCCCTCCCCGCCGCCCGCCGCCCCCCTCGGGGACGGTTTTCCTCCAGACCTGCCCCAACTGAGGCCTTCCCGAGTCCGGGCAGCTCCCGCGGGCCTGTCCCCGCGGCTCCCGGGTCCTCCCGCCGCCGGCCTCCTCCGTGCCTTCTCAAAGCGGCCTCGCACGGCGGGGAAGCGGAGGGGGGGCAAGACGCCCATTTTTATAGCCTTAATTGCTCCCCGGGTGATGGTATCGAACAGTGAGCCTCAGTTTCCTCGCCTGAAAAGTGGGGGTTATAATGGCATCTATCCATCGGGTTTTGCACGGGTTGATGACATTGTTACCTGTAACGCACTCAGAACTGCCTTAATGAGTCTCAGCTCTTGAGATTTCATTAGTCGCTCCGCAAACTCTTGGGCGTGAGGATCTGAGCCGGGAGTGGGCGAGGAGGGGACGGGAATGTGTTCAGAGTGATTCACACTCTGGCGAGACCCTCCTGGCTGCTGGAAATGTTAAAAACGCATCACGAGGTCCCCCCAAAAGGGAATCGCTTAATCTACCTACCTGATGCGCACCGGAACGTCTAAGCTAAGGAAGGTCTTGTTGCTGAGGTCACATTGATGAATGAATGAATGAGTGAGTGAATGAATGAGTGAATAAAGAGTGGAAAAGGAAGGAAGGGAGGAAGGGCCAGGGAGGGAAAGAAGAAATTGTTTAGGGCCTTTTTACAGGTCATGGCACGAGACATCGCCCTCCAGGCCAGCTATGCTCTCTGCACGCTCCTGGGAAAGCCCAACAAATAACTCAAGGTTCTCTAGAGCAAGGGCTCCTGGGGCAGATGTCAGCTAGGAGCACCCATTTCTGGGGGCGGGGAACCCTCCTTTCCTTGGAAGGGACCTTCAGACAGGGGTCTAGAAGCCTCTTTCCAGTAGCTTAGTTTCCAGAGGAGCAGGCAGCAGGTTCAAACCTACTGAGGGGCAGGGACGCCCTCCACCCCTTGCACCCTGGGGCAAAAGGTGGAGGGCGGAGGAGGAATGTCATGGACAGCCGTGAACAACACAGAGCAGGCTGTGCTTACGTGCTGGCAGAAGGAGAAATCAACAGCATTCTAAGATTTCTCCAGCAAGGGAAAAATACTGTAGACTACCAATACGATGTCAAGTGGAAAAAACAGTACGAGCCCACCCAGTAAAAATACATTCTTAGAGATACAATGCACAGAGACACATTAAAAGAAAATGACAGCCAAATGTGACTATATATATATATATATATATATGTATATGCACTTTTTTATATATTGTGTTATTGTCAGGTAGTTTTTATTTTATTTATATTTTTCACAGTTTCTAGATTTTAAAAAAAATAAATATATACTATGTGTACAATCCAAACAAAGCCAACACCTGCTGTTTAAAGCAGATAGATGCAATTCCTAGGAACCTTGAAGATTATTTCCTTGCATAGAGATTTACTCATTTTATAGATGGTACAAGTGAGCCCAGAGTAACCCAGCCACAAGCTCAAGGTTACAGGGCAAGTAAAGGGAAGAGGCATGAATGCATTCCAGGGCTTCAGCCTCCCAAATGGGACATGGGGTGGGGAGTTTCTGCAGCTGGGAACAGGACTTGGTGCCAGAATCTACCGGATGTTTTTTAATTCAGGAGGGTGCAGACAGAAATTCCAGATCCTGCAAGGAGGAAATGGAGGGCTGAGCAGAGAGGAGAATGAACGATGTTGGCTGGCTCAGATTTCAGAGTGCTGTTCACAACAGCCCTGAGAATTTAGGCAGTATTGTCCCCATTTGCAAAATGAGGAAGGCAGGGGAGGGCTCAGAGAAGCGAAGCAGCTTTCTCAGTGTCACACAGCTAATGTGGAACCACAGTAAGGTAGAGGTAGCTTTGGAACCCTGCTCTCCACACCCCATTTTCTGGGACCCAAGGAGAACCATGATGGTGATGTACTGTGTACAGAAAAAAATCCTTGGGCAGTGGACTTCCATGTCCCAACTGTCCGGAGTCATTGTATATCAGGAGGGGGTACTCAATCTTGGAGGCTTTGGACTCTCCTGGATAAAGGATTCACCCTGACAAAGCCTGCCCTCCATTCCTTTGGTATCTATTTCCTGCCCCCTTTACCAGATCGCTGTAAGTTGAATTTGGTCCAAGGTTCATCCCAGAAGAGGGCCTGTCTCCTTACCCAGCAGTGGCTGCCGTCCGGAGCTCCCCGTACGTGCAGCACGTGTGGGACACAGTTAAAGGCGCAGGACTGCTTTTCCAGGAGCGTGCAGAGAGCATAGCTGGCCTGGAGGGTGGTGTCTCGTGCCATGAGGGACTTTTCCTGTTTAATCTTCTCCTTTTATCCATTTCCTTTTTCAACCTGGGGGAAGAGCAATGGCCTCAGCCACACTGTGCTGCCAGCTGCCCTCAGCCTCCTCCCCCTTTACACCCATCAACTAGTCCCCCCAGCACTTGGCTTCTTTAACAATAAAAATAATAACAACAACAGGATTCCCAAGCTGTTCTCCTAAGTAAAAAAAAGAAAGTTGCAAGTATATGCCATATACTAGAAATTCCATGAAAGGAAAAATGTGGATATATGTCTGTGTATCTGTAAGCAGATGGACTATGTCAGAGTATCCAAGGAACACGTAGAGGTGGAGGCATCTAGAGAGAGGAACAGATGGGCTGGGGCACCAGGAGGCAGGAAGACTTAACTTTCACTCTCTTCTTTTCCTCACATCTCAGATTCTATCATGTATGAGTGTTTCCTGTTTCCTAGTCAAAAGATAATAAATGATGAATGGTGGTTTTAAGCCAGGCAGTATGCTAAGTGTTCCATGTGTTTTTTTAGATTTAATCTCAGAGTAAGCCTACTGTTTTATAACCCCCATTTTATGGATGGAGAAACTGAGATGCAGGGAAATTAATTGACTTGCTAGCAAGGGGGTAAGGCCAAGATTTAAATCCAGGCAGCCTATGCCAGGTCCTCACCCTTGACCCCCTGGCTTCGTTGTGCCTATGCTGCTTGTGCTTGGCTGTGAGTCTTCTCCCCTGCAGTGTTTGAGAGTGGCCAGGGAGTTAAGAGCACAAACAATGAGGGTTCCTTTTGACCTAGGAACCTGTTTCCAGGAATTACTCCCCTAGAAGCATTCACACAAGTGGGCCCATTACACAGTTGCTTGTAATAGCAGAAATAATCTTGTGCATTTACATTTACTGAGCTCTTACCATGTGTCATGCACCTTACATGCTTTGCCTGCATTAACTTATTTATTCCTCAAAAAGGTGACAGAGTCATTTCATTTCAGAGTCATCCCCATTTCACAGGTGGGATCTAGCCTGCTCTGGTCCTTTGTTCCCACTTCACTGGGCCTCCCAAAAACTTCTGCCAGCCAGAGGGGGTTGGATGGATCCTGTGTCTCTAACTATGTAGGTCATGGATTCCTGAGCATCTGTGAACATATACTGTGGGGTTTGTGAACTCCTAGTGGGAATTAAGAATTATGTTTATGTTTTGATAATAACCTTAAAAAAAAAAAGGTAAGTGAACTGTAGGATCACCTAGACAGGCACCTTCTTACAGGAGGCTGGCGTTGGAAGTCAGCAAACACATCCATGTCTGGTCACAGCCCACAGGAAGTCACCTCAAATGACTGTTTAATTTTCAGCAACTGCGATGCACTGTTTGGCTTTGGAATGGCCTAAAACCAAAGTGGAAACAATCGTCCCATTGTCCTCCCCCCTACCCCTACTGAATATTTCCCCCAGAAACAAAGAAAAATTTCTTTTCCATTGATATTTACAATTTAAAGGCATTTTAAAAATATGAAACTTTAATGTCTTATGTTATTTCATAAGTTAAAACTCCAGGTTGCCATCAAGAAGACAGCTTGGCATGGCAGAGAAACGTGCAGTTCTGGGCCAGATTTGTTTCCCAGATATGCTGTACACACTGCCAGACAGGTCTGGAAGAATTATCATCAAAATATTTCCTAGGAACTCTAGTTTACAGTGACTACTTTCTCCTTTCTTTTCTTTTCTTTTTGTACTTTTCTGTACTGTTCTTTATTCTTTTGCAGTGAGGATCATCATTTTCACAGAAAAAAAGTTAAAAAAAATTTTTTTTTAATTATAAGGTTGTTAATTCCATCAGTAGCAAGAGGGGCCCAAAGAGGTGTTCACTTTGTCTGGCTCGGTATTTATTTTACAAGCAAGCTGGCTGCCTCCAGCACCCTTCTTTCCCCAACCCTGTCCTCTGTAGGCCCGGGGACACGTGGTCCAGCCCCGGCAGCTCCCGCCCCTTTCTCCCCGTGGCCCCGCCTCCTTTCTTTGGCCCATCCCTGTCCCCTCCCGACTCCCTCTTTTTCCATCTGTCGCAAAAGACTCGGCGGCGCTTGACTGCTGGTGTTGCTTGACGGCCGGAGGCGACGGAGAAGAGGGAGGAAGCGGAGGTGGCAGCTGCTGCGGCGGCTGCGGCGGTGCGGGGGTGCTCGTCGCGGGCCGGGCCAGGGAGTGAGGTGCGGGCTGCCGGAAGGGTGGGCTGGGCGGCGGGCCCGGCGGCCGCCCCCGCGCCGCGCCCGGCGGCCCGATGTGGCTGCAGCAGCGGCTGAAGGGGCTGCCGGGACTGCTGTCGAGCAGCTGGGCCCGCCGCCTGCTCTGCCTGCTCGGCCTCCTGCTGCTGCTGCTTTGGTTCGGGGGTTCCGGGGCGCGGCGGGCGGCGGGCGGCCTGCACCTGCTGTCCTGGGCCCGCGGCAAGCCTGGCGCCGCCGAGCCCTCCGCCTGCCTGGAGGCGGCCACCCGCGTCTGGCGCGGCCTGCGGGAGCGCGGAGAGGCGATACCGCTGGGCCCTGGCGTGCCTGCCCTGGTGGCCAACGGCTTTCTAGCCGTGGACGTGGCCGCCAACCGGCTGTGGGTGACCCCGGGGGAACGAGAGCCTGCTGTGGCACCGGACTTCGTGCCCTTCGTGCAGCTGCGCCCTCTGAGTGCA